CGTAAAGACATTAAACTTTGATTACTATTACCATTGATCGATTAAGGTTGTTCCAAATCGCGGGTGAATAAGTCGCGATGGTTTAATAATTTTTTCATTTGATTGGTTCACAGAGAGATGTAAGGTTTCTCTTCCAGTCAGTGCGAAGAAAAACAAAACCAACGCAATTAGAAATTACCCATGAGTGACCAAGACGCGGTGGCTTATACTTGTTCATCTGATCGGTTGATAGGATGTCGCGAGATTTTTGGACCAAGCGAAGTAAAGAAAAACCAATGCAGTTCGGGATCTCTTGCTGCAGTTGATTTGAAACTTCATTACACTGTTTTGTTATGCTACTTGTTAAACCCGAACAAGCTTACATCACTTAGGATGCTATTTTTTAACTATATAATTGATTTATAAACCATCAAAATAACCTAAGGCGCCATACACCTCATTAAGCAACATAACTTTCTTTTTTCCTTTCACTGATTTCTGTACACTATCTGAATGCCTTTGCTTAAATTTCACTTTATTTACACCCACATTATGTACATCTCTCAAAATATATTAGGGAAATAACAACTAATTGATTACTTACATAAAGAAAGTATAGGATATTTATGGCAAGGCTCTTCCCACGATACATATCAACATTTCACTGAACAAATGATTATTTAACAAATTAAAAAATAAAAACGACAACTTCCACCAAGAGAATATAAACTGCTTATATTGTCATGCTTTCATTTATCAGAACAACAACAACAACAACAACAACAATAATAATAATATAACCAAGTATAGAAATAGGTTATAACAATGTATTTATAAAGAAAAGACTTTCAGTGGTATGCGGTAGCTGATTTGGTAGCTGCAAACAACAACAGCATTTGGTTTGTGGTTTTGAAGTTTGCTCATAGTGCTGAAATTCATTACAACTGGTCAGTACACAAATGCCCCCAAAGTATTCATAGTTTTCTGAGTTTCATAACAAACAAATGAAAACAAAGAATTAGCTTAGAATAAAAAAACGAAAACAAAAACAAAAGAGATGACATTCACTGGTTTCTGAGTACAATTACTTCTAGGCGATACTCTTGTTCAATGAAGTTGATTTACTTATTCCTACGAAGGAGCCCCTCTAACATAGTAACAGATGTAACAACTAAATTCTTGTCAAACAACTTTCTACTCATATTTAATAATTTTATATTTTTTACATATTGACCTTATGGACAGGAAACCATTGGAACCCTCAGAGCTGTGCAGAAATGATCTTCGGCGTGTCTATGCCTGTGAAAGAGAATACAAAAGAAATATTCTTGATATTTGGCACAAATCAGTTCTAGAATAACTTGAGCAGAAAAAATATATATGTTCTCAAAGAAAAGAAATTGTAATTAGGCTTTACAAATATTAATATTTTCATGCAAATCCTTGATTTGGTATATCTATTTTGGTTGGCAAATAGTACCTTGAAAATCAATTGGGAATTTTGCAAATGCTATGGGGGGCAGGAGATAAACATGTTCTACAAATGTATGTTTTATTTATTATTTTGCAGGGCTGAGTACATGTGCTGTTACTGGTCACTTTAGAGGGTCACACTTCACTGTATGCCCACTAGGTTCAAAAGCTTTGTTTTAAATAAAAACCTCCCTCTCTACCTCTCTATTTGAACCCAGAGTTGTAATAAATATCTTATTGACCTTGTTTCTCAGTCTGTAGTCTGTAAGTGACAGATGCATGTTTTTTCCACTTGCACTTATGGCACACGCACTTTGCTCTTGGGCCACAAATCAAAGTGGAAAAAGTTCATCTGTAACATACATTTGAGACCTAGAACTCCATTAGTAAGAAGTGTTTGTCCAGGATTGCACCTTCATGAAACACCTTTAAGAATTATCAAGGGGCAACAAAATTTAATACCATTGAGTTGAAGAAACAACAAAAGAACATTTTTGTTACTCCAAGATTGGTTTACTTAGCAAATGCTCACCTTATGCAGTGATTCTTATTACATTCCTGACACACAAATGGCATCAGTCCATGTTGATGACAAGTCTTTCGAGAACATTTATTACTTTTCTTTGGTTTTCCCACCACAAGGCTCTTACAGCCACTGAGGATGTGTCTTTCAACCTGTTACAACAAACAACAGTTTACAGAAAGAATTAACCAATGGTTAGTTACCATGAAATCAGGCTGTTGACATTGAGGTCTACAAGTGAATGACACATGTCAAACACTACCTAGATTAGGGACTTTCAAGGGATCCCAGTTATCAATGTGATAAATTTTTCAATATCATAGACTTATACCTGTTTCTCTTAAAACAGATCTTCTCTAAACACTAAACACTAAACCCTGAGCACTAAGCACTATATAAGCCCTAAACCCTAAACACTAAACACTAAACACTAAAACCACTTGCAAAAATGTTGAGACACTTTGAGCAAAAAGTGCATTTCCCTACTTTATCAGATGGCCCAGAAGTAATTTAGTGCAAAACAAAAATGCAGCCTCCTTTCCCTAATTCAATGTCATTTATCAGAGTTTTGTACATGGTACTGCTTAGCTACCAATACTGCAGAGAAGGGATGGGGGAATAATTTATAACATGTTGGATCACATGATGAATAATTATCTTTTGTAGTGGTGACATGTCTCAACTCATTTTGCAACTGGTTGTAGATTACAACAACGATAAGAGATGAGACTTGAAACAATTATATATTTTCATGGCTCTCATAATTCAATGTCGAGGGGAACTGGGCAGCAAATGGGTGTATCAATATGAACCAAAAGAGTTTATGATTTTGACCCTTGTTTACAATCTAAGATCTAACATGTGTCTTTTGTCCAGTTGAACCATTTTAGCTAGTTTGACAATCTTAACCCTTTGAATCATTTCAGCTAGTTTTTTGCATTTTGTTCAGTTGAACCATTTCAGCTACTTTGACTATTTTAACTAGTTGACACAATTTAGCATGTATGTGCATTTTGTCCAGTTTAACCATTATCCTGTTTGACAATTTTTACCAGTTGAACCAATTCAGCTAGTTTAAGCCTTTTGTCCTGCTGAACCATTTCAGCTAGTTTGATTCTTTCAACTGGTTGAATTAATTTAACTAGTATGTATATTTTGTCCACCTCCAACATTTTGGTAAGTTTGAGCATTTTTAAACCAGTTAAACCAAAGTCATATGCATGCATTGTGGTCTAACTTGTTTTTGCCTTTTGAAGATGTTTTCAATTGCTTAGGTCAACATAAGGATCTACATCTGTGACTCAGCAGACCCCATGCAGTGGATATTCAAATGAACATTCTGGACTTTTAATATACAGCTTAACAATAAGATTATCAGTGTGACATTTCTACCCAAACCAAATTGATGATGGCGTCAGGCCCTAATCAACTCTCACGTATAGCTATAAAGACCCAATAATCAAATCATTTTCAAATAAATGTACTATCCACTGAAGACTTGACAACACGACAAAGCTCAATATTGTATCAAATGTTGTTGTTCCCTCACAATGTTCCCTGAGAGGTCTGCTTTAATACTGTTCAACTGTTGTGTTTCTCAATAGTTTTGATTCCTTTGTCTCTAATTCATGTTACTAGGATGAAGTCTTATCTGGATGGCTTTTTTAAGCCTACATTTGTACCAGCAAGGGTCATGGTCAAATAACCTATCCTGGCTTCAAACAGGAATGTGTCCTGTTTCATTAGCAGGCTCATGTTCCCATTATATTTTGTTAACCTTTACATCGTAACAACAGTATGCAAGTTCTTGATACTGTTCTTTATTCATTTCCATCCCACTTACAAGGAGAATTTGTGTAACAATCAAGATCTTTCTATAATTGGTGATCATTTCCTCTATTCTCATGACCCTAATGTGTGATTCAGTGGTGATATTGTAAGGCGAAATTAGATACTGGTCACTATCAGTGGTCAAAGGGTTAACAACTGCACATTATAAGGCTACTCAGTACTCACTACCAATCACTGAACAGATAGCAAGTATTGTAGACCATCAGATTGCCAAGTTTGTGATAGAACACTAGTACAGTTATACTTAAACATAATATATGGATATCTTTACACCCTCTGGGAGAAGCTGAACACATACAGAGACATGAAGTAAACAAACTGACCTGTCTATTAACATCCTCATGATGGGACTTCTTTATAATTTGATTACAGATTGGGCAAACGGGAACATGAACCTGTATCAAACAACAAAAACATAAAATTCAAACAAAGAATTGTTTGTGAAGGTCAATCATTCATTTTTTCCACCATTGAGCTCTTAGAATAAAACCCTGCGAGTAGAGGTCCCTTCAATCTTCCTAGATTGAAAGGATCTCTGCTTGCAGGGTATCAGAATCAATTTTTCTATATTTTCTTTCAGTTAAAAAGAACTGTATGTTGCTTTCTCTGAGCGAAAGAAGAAGAGCATGACTGGGAGCAAAGCAGATGAGATCTTTGAGAGCAATCGGAGAGAAAATGGTTGCAAACAGAAAAATTTTATAATTATTTGTTAACCACTTCTGGTAAGACTTGCCCAAAATAATGCAGATTCACCAACAGTCAGCATATTTCTTTGCTGTCTCGCTGAAAACGTCGGATAGGAACATTGTAGTTCTTACTTCTTGTTCTGTAGAACTTCTTCAATATCCCTGATTCTACTAGCCACTGAAAGATCTATTTAAGCCCTCTTCTATAATTGATACTTACATCTGATAAACCAACAGTCGAACACTTGTGTTCTTCCGGGCTTCGATGTTCTAAACTAAAACAAACAAAAGATACGAATAAATCAATAAACTAAGAACGTTCAAGACAAACTTACACTACTCAAAGTTTTATCAGTCGTCGTTCCAAACGAGTAAGCGTGTCTAAACCTTGCCGACAAAACAAACCGTCAAAAAACTCTCACCATCCTCTAATCCCAGTGACCATCTCAATTTTAACACTTAACATAATCCGAAGGGAAAAAAATAACTCGGTAAGAAGGAAACGTACCAGAAAATTTCTTTGCAGTGAGAACACTGAAATGGTAAGAAATCAAGCCGTTTACACGACGCTAAACTACAATGTTTCCCGATGGAAAGAAGATCGGCTTCCTCCGCCATGATGAAAATCTACTCCAAACGTCCTTACTCATCGTTCTCGCCTGGTCTTTTATACCCTTTCCTTCCATTTTGCCGAGTCACGATGTTTCCAACCTTTTTCTGCCCACAGAGTTTCCAGAAGAATCAGGGTTATTCTGGTCACGCGTATTTCCGCTGGCTAGTGATTCCCAGTCTCCCTCTTCGAAATGAAGAGAGGATGAGTGCTAAAGCTAAATTAAATTACCGCAGATTAACGCCTCCGCGATTAGTTCATTGTAAGACAGAAACTCATAGTTAGCGTTTCAGTCCAGGATAAGACCCCATGTAACCAAGATCGTTTCTAAATAGAAGATAAGCTAGATCGTAATCCTCGATAAAGTAGTCAAGACCCACGAACGAACGTTGGTAAGCAACAATTTATTTTGCGATTATGTAAACTCGTAGTTGTGATTCAAAGCGAAACCTATCGCTAGCTTTTTACCTTTCTTGGTTCTTTTAATTGCCAAGTGCTCGATCACCATATTGATGTTATTCTCAAAGCTATGATCGCATAATACTTTGGTAATTTCTTCACGTAAGGATTTCAGTTGCCGCTTCGATATAAGAACACCTCAAAGAATAGGAAAAAACAACAACAACAACAACAACAACAACAAAAACAACAAAAAACTTATTTTACCCTCGGCAGTCTTTATAGCACACAAAGTGCTAATGGAGCCGAGAAAACAACTGAAACAAATAATTCAAATTGTACATAACATTGTTAAGAATCCCAACTGGCCGGAGGCAAAGCAGTCGGCTATTTTCAAGCGTGGCCGAGGATTTGAACTCGCAGCTAACGTGAAACAAATCCACGTAGGGGTCAGGGCGGGACTAGAACCCGGAAGCCGTGGATTGCAAGTCCGACACGCTGACCACTCGGTTTGGTGTTTATCGCATGCGCGTGTATCAACCCGAGAATCGAGCGCAAATTCTAACTTGAAAGGATACATTTACATTGAGCCCAAGAGCTGCCTGGAGCTTTCGGACTTTATGTATGGGAGGTCATTTTTCTTTCTCTTTCCCATTTCTCCCTTGTTTTTACTTATCACCAAACGGGAATAAGGCTAAATCAGGCAACTATTTTATGGACTAGGGCGGATTAGCCAGAGAATTTTTGAGGGGATCACATGGTTTTCAGGGGGGACGGAGGGTGGATCAGTCGTCGCCAACAGGTATAAAGGAGCGACTATAGGAAATTGACTGCTCTACCCCCTTCAGGCAATAGATGATGACCGGCTCTTAGAAACACTGTATCTACAAACGCAATGAATGAACAACGACGATGTATAATATCAGAGGCCGAGAGTAAAATGTAAAAAGTCGTGTATCTGAGGAACCTCTGAAGAGTGTTTTAAAAATTGTTGCTGTGGGATTCTGTGAGAAAAGAAAAAAATGGAGCTTTATAAACTGTTGATATTAACAAGTCGAAAGGTAAGATGCTTCCAAAAGATAAATAGTCAGGTTCGAAACTGTTCAAAGAGGGAATTTTTTCACAAGGATACCTTTCTGGATGTTATCAATTTGTTGGTTATTTAGCGTCATGCAACAGACGACCGAAAAGGTGAAGAGCCAGTGAGGGTTCAAGGGTGGATGTAAGTTAGAAATAATGTGTTGCTACCGGCGTGTATTGTAATATTGCAGAGCTCTGTCGTTTCTGTTTTCTGGCTTTATCATGTCTGTTTTCCGTCGAGTAAGTTTGAGTTTAAGTAAAGGTTAGAAAATATGCACGACGTGACAAATTTTGAGCTCTATGCCATTCATCTGATATCCCCTAAAAATATGGTCGGTAGAGCTCTATTTGCATAAAAAGCTATATAGTGTAGTTGCAGATTTTAAAAGCACTTTATATAAAAACCTTTAAATATAAGCTATTAACTTGACATGAAAAGGTAAATTGCTAAAATTGAGAAGTTTGAGTCAAAAGAAATGTAAAAGACAGAGCCATACTTGCATATAGGCTTCAAATAGCAAATTGTACTCTTAATATGAAACTGAACTTATCATTTTAGCTTCACACTCAAAGGTAATCTGACAAAATGGGAAAGTTTACCGGCTTCGGCGTAAGGTTATGTGTAATTTTCATCAAAAGATTTTCATTTTGATTATGTATCATGATACTCCAAGAATGGATTAGATAGGACTATCAGATGCAAAAAAGAAGAGTTTTCCGTGAAACACTTAATATCTCCTTTTTTTTTCGTTAAGTGAGCTTAGCATGAATTTATGTTTTCGTAAAGAGCAAAAGGCATTTTCCCTCTATGCATCACCCACTTGATACGCAGTTTAAAGAAGAACGCGAGAGGAATGCAGGGCGAACGCGTCCAAGCGCAACTTCTACGTTGATGTGGGAGTTTTAAGTCGAAGTCCGTTCGTTCGTGCTCCCAGTTTTTCAGATTTATTTAATCGCACCAAAAATATTTCATTTCATACACCGTGGATATCTTAGGTAGAGCCTTTTTCAAAGGAATGGAAAGGATTTTTCCGGCATTGAGAAAACCATGCTAATCTTTGCCCTTTATTGAACGATCTTCTTGAAGATGTTAGACAACGACATTGTTACCCAACATTCCTTGTTCTTCAAACTGAATCGGGGTATAGGTCGATTAAAAGAATAACAATAATAATAATAATAATAATAATAATAATAATAATAAGAGAGCGACCAAGAGAGTGAGCATGAGCAACTAGAGGAGAAGGTGTTTGTTAATATCGAAGAAGCAAGTAGCTTTTGGAAGGAATTATGGGAAGGGAACGGAACGGGAAACGGAAGCGCGGAATGGCTGCATGATTTGCGAACTATTATTCACGATCGCGTCCCTCCTTCAGTGGAGGCCTGGGACATAGTTACAAGTGAGGCTGTAAACATTTTAGCGCGGAAGAAGAATTGGAGCGCACCTGGACTGGATCGTATCGCCAATTTTTGGTGGAAATGTGCCTAAGCGCTGCATGAGGGTGTTATTTCGTCATTCCGTGTGATCTCCGAGTATGAGGAAGAGTATCCAGCATGGTTTTTTGAAGGGAAAACAACGTTAATCCCAAAACCCGGAGAGGTTACCAGCGACAACCAACGACCCATCACTTGTCTAAACACGCTTTATAAGTGGTTCACTTCGCGTCTGCTTGTCACAACAAACCAGCATCTTGAGGAGAACGATCTAAGGGAGGGTGCGCAGAGGGGGGCACGTGCAGGGTGCAGTGGAACAACAGACAACTTATTGATCGACCGAACAGTTGCGTTGGATTGTCATAGGAGGAGGCGGGAATTGAGCGTGGCCTGGATTGATGTTAAAAAGGCGTACGATTCTGTAGATCATAGTTGGTTGAATGAGGTGATGACGTTACACAGGTTTCCCACATGGTTGTGTAAAGTCATTGCTAAACTGTGTGAGAGTTGGAACACAAAGGTAGTGGCGATCACAAGGGAAGGGAGACAGACCTCCGAAAGGATTAAGTTCAACAAAGGGTTACCACAGGGGGATGCATTGTGTCCGAGGCTGTTCACCGTACGCTTGAACCCAGTGGCATGGAAGATTAGAGCCGCTGAAGGATACCGGATGTCCAAACCTATTAACAGCAAGGTTACGGGACTCTTGTACATTGATGATATCAAGATCTTCGCTGCATAGGAGAGTAAGCTTGAACGGGTTATGAAGATGATTAAGTCATCTATGGAGGATGTGGGGCTTCAGTGGAACCTAAAGAAGTGTGCGTTGGCCCATGTGAAAAGGGGATACAAGTGACTGCTGTCTCAGGGGGGAGAGTTGTGGAGTCGACTAGAATACCATGTCTTGATGATGGTGAGCGGTACAAGTTCCTTGGAGTACTTGAGTGTTAGGCAGGAGGATAAGTTGGTCCTGGAGTGTGCAGCAAGAGAGTATCTCAGGCGATTGTCAGTTATTTGGACAAGTCCCTTGTCCGATTATAATCGGGTGGTAGCGTCAAATCAGTTTGTATTGCCTGTTCTTGGATATATTATGTGGACAAAACAGTGGCCGGTGATGGAACTTAAGCAGATCGATAGGGAAGCGCGCAAGATTGTTGCTGAGAGTGGGGGTAGACACCCATGTAGTTCGAATGCATTGTTGTATATGACAAGAAGTAGAGGAGGGCGGGGATTGCGCTCTGTTGATATGGAGTACAAAGCCACAAAAATCAAGGGTGCAGTCAGACTACATTACCAGTCAGTCAGACTGGTAATGAAGATCGTGCACTGGGAATGGTGCGGGAGTTTGAAGAGCAAGCGGCAAGGATGGGGCGTAGGTCAATTTTTAAAGAAGCGGCTAAGTGCGCGAAGGAGTTGGATTTGGAACACGCGCAAGGGATCAAGAAAGAGGTGCGGAGGTGCCAAATTGAGAAGTTAGAGGATGAGATCAGAAACCAACGATGGCAAGGGCGTGTAGTCAGTGACTACTAGGCTGGAGGATGAGAGTTTGAGTGCCGATGGGTGTTTCTGGTGGCTCACAGAGTGGAAGAACTGCCCATCACACACAATTGCTGGACTCGTCGAGCTATACGAGCAGCTATTGCCAACGCGAGTATACACGAGTCAGAAGACCCACACAAGCGGGGAAGGCGATGTGAGGTGCAGATTATGCGGCAAGGCTCCAGAGAGTGTGGCACATATCTTGTCAGGATGCAGTGCGCTGGCCCAGAGCAAGTATCTCTCTAGACACGACGCAGCACTGAAGGTACTGTTTTACGAACTGTTGTATGATAAGGGATTTATAGACGAGATACCACCCTGGTACTCACCCGACAAGCCGAAGCCCGTGTATGAGTCAGAGAATGTTAAAGCTTATTGGGATGTCCCTATATTTGCTGATCAACAAGAGGTCAGATGCATTAGGGTGGATGCACGCATTGTAAATCATATATGCAAGAGAGTTGTGACGCTGGAAGTGAGCTGCCCGTGGGTTAACAATCGGACAAGAAAGGATGAAGAGAAGACACTGAAGTACGGACCCCTTCGCTGGGAACTAAGGCAGCAGTTCCCAGACTACGAGGTGAAGCAATATAACATCATTATGGATGCCCTCGTGGGGTGGTCACGGGAGCTGGATGTCATGCTGCGCGAACTGGCGGGAGGCAGAAGCACAGACGTACTGCGAAAGATGCAGAGGGCAGTGCTCTCGGGCACGCTGAATATTGCCCGGACTTTCAAGGTGGCAGTTTGAGTTCCTGTTAGAAGGAGGACCGTAGACACAACGGAAAAGCTTTTTAAGATTAGTTAATGTACATTTATTTTTTACTCCATGGCTCATAGGTTACGGTTTTCGCCCTGTGCTGCCTGATTAGAATGTAGCATTCAGTTGATTTCTCTGCTACAATAATAATAATAATAATAGAAAGAAATAAAAAGATTTGTCTACGGCAAAAACTTTCAGGTCTTAAGGCCTTTTAACTTGGCTGATTCGGTTAACGATAACTCATCTGGCCACAACTTCCCCTTCCAAGAATTTAATTTGTCCTTATCGGTGAATGTAAGGTGGGCCGGCCCCGAGATATCTCGATAACAGGGTTTACTGAATTCCCATTAGAATCTGCCAATCAATTTTCTGTAACTTGATTATATTGATAATCGCACTGACCTTGGTCATATGGATCCATATATGAAATGCAATTTGACTAAAATCTTAGCTTGCCATCCAGACTTAAATTTTCCATCTGATCAGAAGGACGAAATTTCCCGCTTACCCTACTAAGTAAGTTTTCCGAGGACCTCCGCCCCAACCCACCCACGCTCCAATTGTCCACGTTCGGTTCTCAGCCGACACAACTTGCCATTTTGATTCATTTAGCCACTACCCTTTGAGTTACCGCCAAAAAAATCTTCAAAAATTCATTTTATAAACAATTAAGAAGATACTGAGACAAAGATAAGAGAGATTTAGGTTAAATCGGGTTATAATAAATTTTTTTTCTATTCATCTGAAGAAAGTTTAACGTCAATTCGCGCAATTTAAAAAATACCGTAGGGCTTTTTCAAACCCAGACTCACTGTCAATTATAACTTGTCTGAAGTGACACTCAATTGTAAACCTCATTTTTATTCATTTAGGTAGCCATTATTGTGGACAAAATTCAATATGAACATTGAGATCCTTATTATTCTAACGTTGTTGTTTATATTTCTTTGATTTTATAAGTTTTACATCATTTGATCTCACTAAAAACAGAACAAAATATTTTAACTACTTTCTGTAATGCATTCGAAGCGACACTCCAATTTATCGTGCTTCAAGCAGATATTTGCATTATATAAATAAGATTTCTAGAGTATTTCACAATGGAATCATGATATTTAAAGGTTAAGTTAGAATAATCATGAATGTTCTCCTTCTCCCGAAAAGAGATTAATTGCAGTGAGTTTTATTCAATATATTAAATGTCAAATATATCTCGATGTTTTCGCGGTATGATTCGAATTGACTATTTGATCATGATGACAAGCGCGGGTGAAAATTTTACATGAAAAAAAAAGCTGCCAAACGAAATCTGTTAGCATATCTGCAAAGCGGATGATAAGGGCTATATTTTAGAAAGGTGTGCAATGAGTATATTTATCATCTACCAGCACAAAGCCGTTAAGAAACCGAGGGAACAAAACAGACAATTTCAGATCAAATGGAGGAAGTTTTAACTATGAAACAGCTGCAACGTGGAGAAAAACAATTTAAATTGCAAATACATGCTATGAATATAATTAGTTGTCTAACAACTGTTTCAGTGAAAGGTTTCCCACAGACCGTAAAATTGGTTAAATTGTTTTGTGAGCGTGTCAGGACGCGAATGTTGGTTGAAGGCGTCTTGGCATTTTTTTCCTAAGCTTCATCTCCCACTAGAATGGTGAGGGGATTTGAAACTGAAGTTAACCAATTTTCGAATAATCTAACTTTGTTCGATACGGTCTCTGAAAACCGCCATTCGACGGACACAAATTGTAAGTATTTACGTCTTGTTGTTGACTATAAATTCAGTTAAATTTCATATAAGGGACCTTGGTTGTTTTATAACGGGAGTCACCTCAAGAGAATTTTTACGCTCGAGATCGATTTGAGGTCGATTTTCATGATTTCTGTAGCACAGATCTAATGTTGTCATAAATAATAGAAACTAGGGCATGTTTTATCACCCTCTACTGCGACAAATTTACGATTGACTTTAAAATCAACAAGACAATTTAAAATACCTTATACCATTCGTTTTATTTCTTGGGTGAATACTATAAACAAGGATGCCTCAAAACGGTAACTGCAGCCAAAGCTTGGTTATTTTGTTCATGTGATTCGTCTGTTTCAGCATATAATTTGATAATTTTAAGTTCGTAACTGAAAAAAAAAATAATAAAAATCTGTTTAGACGCAAGTGAACCAGTTTGTCGGATCGAAAGTTAAATGCTCTTTACAGGAGTCAGAAAAAAAAAACTTGCTTTGGTTTCAAAGCGTTTGATTTGCTTTATTAACCAAAATTAGCACAGATTCAGCTCAGATTTCCTTTGTTCGGAAGAAAATAAATGAAGATCTATAGTGAGACTTTTAATTCACTTTCGCCGGGATGCAGGCGCTTCTAAGGAGTTTCTTTAGTCGTTAGCGCTTTCTTAATTTTCCTTCATACCGCACGAACATCGACTCCATATAACATTAATTTTCCCGACTGTGGTGAAAGAACTGAAATTTGAAAGTAAGATTCTTCGAATTCTCCCCATTTATACCAGAAAATGGACTTAAATTACGAAAAAAAATTATTTTTTAGGCTAAACTGACCAGTTGTAAAGTCATTTGTTTTCCACGTATATTTTTAAAACAAAATTAAAATGACAACTAATGTTTTAATTTTGGCTATACAAAGACAACGACTGTTTACGAATGAAGTGAAATTAAAATAGCGTACTTTAATGCAATGTCGGGCAACCTTCACACAGACAGTTTTCCGTAGCAACTGTTTGTTTCGTTCTCTTCAACAAAAGAAAAAAGTTGACAACCACATTTGGCAATAACAGTTCTTAAAGAGAATTTCACTTATGCTCTTCACCTATTTCCACGATAAATGACCGTATCAAGACATATACACCAGCCAATTTTGTCTTTGAGAATTGTTTATGTTCTTTTTAAGTCACTTAATTCAAACCTGGTACACCCGTTTTTTGAAAATTTTCAAGGAATATAGCTTTGATGCAAGCTTGCGCGTGGTGAGAAGCTGGAAATAACTGAGTAGCGCGCCGCGCCTTGAGTTAAAGATCTTTCAACCCTTTCCAGTGTCCGATTGAAAATCGCGCACCAAAATCAACGGCCAATCAGATGAAAGGATAATATAAAGAGCAGCCATCAAGGACTTAAACTGAAAACAAGCGAGCTGCTTCAAGCGCGGGAAAATACTTGAGATCAGGTCACGACTGGTTTTTAGTTTTGTATCTGATTGGTTTAGAAATAAAAGTGGCGCGAGATTTGTGGACCAATCGCTTTGAGAAGTAGAGAAAAACTTGTTTGCAAGCATGTAGATAACATCTTAGCAATAAAACACGTATAATAATTTCCAAGATTTTTCTAGCTGTCTACTGGAAATTGCTTTGAGGTTGTAAGTTGAATCATTAAACGATCCGGCACTCCTGGAACAGGTAAGAAAGCCTTGTTTCTTTTCTTTGCTTGTGCCAATTGCATCTTAGCGCTTTCATTAATCTCATCGATAAGGACGACAACAAAAACGGAGCAGTTTAAGGTTTCTGCACCGTTTCCCTCTAGCTTGAACGCAACAGAGTTTAAACGTAGCGAAAGCTTTTATAATCCGGTAATCAACATTTGAAGCTCTTTATGAATAATTACAGACAGGAATGATATAAATTATAAAAACATGGTAAAAAAAAAAAAACACTGCGATGGCTTAACATATATTTGGGTATTACACTAGAGTCTGGAGATGATGGCGAAAGGGTCGTCGCCTACGAGTGGCCGTAGCCTCCCCCCGTGGAAGGAAAGAGGGGGGAGGGGAGGGTACGGCTATACGTAGGCCAAAGGGTCAGTGAATACTGACATGATTTGAAGGTAATGAAACTCAGTAAAAGAAAGGGATGTAATTTGAGTTCGTTGCGTGTGTCTAGAACACTCTACGCTACAAGCGTCCTTAAAGACGTGACTCTACCATAAGCTGTGTCACGATCAAGTGACATTTATTTTGATTCGTTGCAAAGTGTTCTCAATGCGAAAGAGAAAGTGAAGCTAGGGCTCGCCAAAGTAGACACACACCACTAAATGAGTCTGAAAGGAAAAGCTTGGAAAATTCTGGCCAAATTTTGATTTGAAAATGCGCCATTAATGACGTAATAAATTTCACCCCAAGCAGAGAATACCCCACGCACTAAACAATTTTGACTAGCACTATTCGGATTGGCTCCGAAACTCTTCATTGTTCAAAATGATCGAAACTTCACTTACATCTAGGATTGAATTCTACCTCAGCAAATTACGCGTTTTTCATTTTGATTCAGTTTTCTTAGTTTTCTCGTTTATCTAGATTCTTTTGTGATGGATTTCCGTCCGGCACAAGTTTTAATTTTCAATTTTTGCTGTGGAATGTAATCGTAGATTTATCTGACCAGACGAATTTAGTTTTCCCCGCCGGAAATAGAAGGGTCGCGACTGCGAGCTTAACTTCATTACTTAACAGAATTAGCTGATTATTTCAACATATAATCTGACCACATCCCTTTTCTATAAACGAGGTCTACATCTATGATACTCAAAAGCGTACAAGCGAATTGGTCTCAATCAACGCTCTTGTGATTGAGACTTGTCCTTGATACACGTGACTCACTTAATACAGAGAGAGTATTCAGCATTTGCCGACAGAAAAGGATTGTACGAAGATCTAGTCAAATTCTTGTAACTGATGTATTGTTCAATGAGATGTCTCAGTGTAGCTTTCCCTACATCTTACACTGCTGTCATGTTTGCGTCTGGTTCTCTTATGGTTCTTTTTTTATCACACGTTTGACGATTTGGATGCATAAACTCTTCTCGCCCTTCACACTTTGTACGTGATCCGATCTCAATAATTTATTTGAGAAAGAATTGGAAACACTAGATGTTGAAATTACAAAGATTAACGCTCGCCGGAGTGGAAGTCAAGATAAGGCCGTGCGTGGATTCTATACTTCCGGTATCTGCAGCCATGACATGAAATTTTTATCTCGGTTTTAGTTATCTTTGATTTATATATATATTTTTTTCAGTTCCAGTTTTGCCTGTGGCAATAACAGTCATTTTTGGGTCAGTCCTTGTTACAGTCCTAGTCACGTTGTACCTTGTTAGAAGACAGCGCCAAGCAGAAAAATATAAACAGTACTCCCAGATAGCCAAGACTACCGTTCAACCACCGCAATTCACCGTTAAAACGTCTCAACAGCCTTCTCCAGCGAAGAAAAAGCTGTGTCGAACGAAAGAAAAGATCCTTTCCTCCGAAGAATCACTCTCACCGATGTCGAGCGAAGAAATGTTCTTTGACGCACAAGAACGGCTTGAGGGGAAAGCATCTCGTTCAATTTCCAGTCGTGAGGCGAGCCCAGCAAGTGCGTTGGAAGAGGAGAAGAAAGAACAAGACGAGATGTACCCATCCGACCATCTTGGACGAATTTGGTTCAATTTAGAATACGATAAATCAGCAGAAAGTTTAGCTGTGACATTGGTCAAAGCACGCAATCTTTCTACGCGCGGCAAAGCTTCAAAGACGTGCGATCCGTTCGTGAAACTGCGAATTCTTGGTCCAGAAGAAAAGGAGAAAAACGTGTCCCAGAGCAAGAGTAAAAGGAAAACATGTCGGCCAAACTTCGATGAAATGTTTTATTTCAACATGCCTGTTTCAGAGCTCAAAAGGTGCACTCTTCGCTTGTCCGTATATGACGGGTTTAGAGCGAGCCAGCAAAGTGTAATCGGGGAAGTCTTGTTTCCTCTGAGTGAATTGGACACAGATCAGAAACTTGAGTTTTGGAGGGATCTTGTCGCTAATGAGGAGGTGAGTTTATTATCCTGATCACAGGACTGTATGATCAGTCATAATACGTAAAATTTGATGGAAGCGTCAGTCATTAAACGCTTTTGTTTGTTCCTAAATATTATCCCAACAAGTGGTCATAAGTGCATAAATAAACCACAGGTTCCTGTATCTTAGCTCACTTCTGTCAAATTTTTCATAAAAGTTGTTTCCTCCGGATTTCAAACTGAACAGAAAAAAAAAAAAAAAAAATTCTGGTAGACGTGTTTTCTGGCACGATCTCCTTTCGAACTTATTTATTTCAAACGTGTACAGTTGACAACTTCTTGACATGATTCAAACATTTTTTAGTAACGTTTAAAAACAAGCTTAACTCTCTTTTTTATTTATCACCGGGTTTCTGATTTCACTTCCGAAATGCAATCAAAAAAGAAATTAAAAATTTTGATCGACAGCGGGGGATCCTACTCAGTGCATTCAAAGCTATCAGTAGTTTACAACTGCTTTCGAATCTTCACAATTTCCTTGGGCTCTAAATTCTCTGCATATTCTGAGACGCAAAAAAAAAAAACCGTCTGCCAATTGATACTTATCTGTAGTCAAGAATTGAAACGATATACATAAAATGTACCCATGTAAACCACTGAAATTTGTCTATATGTTATCACAAATAAGTACTCAAGGCCGGTCGAATAAACAATATGGAATGTATTCCGATACCAATAAATGAGAGGAAATTGTTGACAGAGAGAATAGATACAAGATGAAGACGATTGCCTGCTATCACGATCTCAATCAGGGGATTCACTCAACGGTTTTCGTGCTCAGCTGGCGGCTGTGAGAGCGCTTTGAAGAAATGAGCCGCAAAAGCACGAAAGGCTCCCACTTTTTCCGCCACAACCCTCTCGCAGCTCTGCCGCTGAACTCTTCAAAGTGCTCAAATAACCACTGGCTACACAGGTTAATCACCGCCGTTCAGTTCTAAACAGACACTCATATATCATCTGCTTTTGATAATAGTGAAATGATATTGTTCCTTGTTGTTCAATGAGACATCCACTCTTCTACGTTTCAAAGGGCATTTTGCTTCCGTTAATTAGATTAGTAGTGAGTTCCAGAATTCTCGTATTTTCACTTGTTGAACTTTTTATATGATCACATTTGTTTGCTTCACATTTCAGAGCCCGTCCCAACTTGGCGAAATTCATATCTCCATGTCTTACTACCCCACCCTAGACAGGCTCACTATTATCGTCCTCAGAGCATCCAACCTCAGGAAAATGGAGCCCCATGGCACAGGTGACGGGAAAAAATTGTCTACTTTAGTAACGCAGGCCTCGGCCTCACTTTGTTTCGAAAAAGTTAAAAGCGAATTCGCCGCCCAGTTTTGGCTTCGCGTTCGATAGACGGGAAATATAATCACCTCCGTTTTCATTGGCTATGATATATTGAAAGATTTCGGACCATATCTAAATTAGATAAAATCGGAAAAATATTGTTTTCCTGTAAGCATTCTATAAGAACACAAAGAGGAGCTTTTTAATCTCGTCTCTTTCTTTGAAGCCATGGACACGATCATTCCTTTGGAGTCCAAGTCACTGTGATGAGTTTTTACCGCGACGATCTAGTGTGTTGGACGGGAGGTACTCCGTGAAACATCCTTACTTTCCGTTCCCTTGAGATAGATTAGACGGGAGGATTCTACCGGGCTCGATTACTCCTTAACATTACAGATGTTAAGGCAAAGCCGCCAACATCAAACCCAACTTGTTCTCGTGCTTCAAATCCTGAAATTCGATAATATCAAATGAAAATAAGAAAATAACTCCATACACTGTAAATGCACAGTCGGGTTTTATTACTTTCTCGCAAACCGAGCAACGAGCAGTTTTAAAAAAAGTCAAATCCCTAGTCGATCGACCAATTGCTTATTGTCGCTTGTTGTACACAATCTACGTATTACCGGTATTTTTTCACTGATGTGTCTGTTTCCTTTCCTTTTTTTTTTTTTTCCAGATTCCTACCCCAAAGTGACTTTCTCTATCGGAAATAAAATAATCAAGACTAAAAAGGGACCGCTTCACCACGGATCGCGTGAACCGCTGTACAACGAGTCCTTCAACTTCACCGTTTCCGGAGATGACCTGGGCTCTGGTACTCTACTGGTGTCAATCATGCACTCGAGGGAAGGGGGTAAGGAGGACCAGTTAGTCGGCAGGGTCCTACTGGGGGGAATGATGTACGCAAGAGGAACTGAATGCGAGCACTGGACAGAAATGATGACGAATCCGCGAAACATGATAAAATATTGGCATAAGTTAACAAATTAAACACAAGAACACCCCTTTTATTTATGGTTTCAGTGATTCACTCGCGTAGTATTATCCGACGAAACATATGCAAAGGATTTGAATTTCACCCAAAGGTTTAGAACAGAAACAACGGCTTGAAAGTTCGAAAGACCTTTCATAAGTTAAGCAAAGATAAATCAAGTTTGAAAATGGAGACAAATGGTCCTCCTTATTCAATGATAAACCTTAAGCAACAAAAGCTAACACACAGTTATGGTCTCTCTGTAGAGCAATTTCCAATTGATTTCGACAAATTTTTCAAGACTGCTTTGAACTGCTTTACTTCACTATGTGACTCGTCCAGAAAACTCGTGCCACATTTTAACCAATCAGATCCAAAACTAAAAAAACTAATCACGACTTGGTCATTGGAGTTTTCCCGCGCTCGGAGAGATTTGCCTGTTTTTACTTTGATTTGTCATAGGCTCAGAATTTCCTTTGCTCTGATTGGTTGATGTAATTCTTTGGTTTTACACTTCGCCACTCAATCGAAATACGCTTTGTTTGATTTGATGATGACCGAGTCATCATTAGGTTTGCATTTAGCGATAGAAAAGTTTCTCTTTTCCAATGCAACTACCACGACTGATAGCGCCCGGGCAGATGGACTGCTCTGGTCTTGTCAAAGCCTTGTAACAAAGAATTGTTTCGTTCTGTACATCAACAACCAGCTTTTGAATCTTTATACCAGACTCGTAAGACGTATCGCTCTGATATAAGAGTATTTTATTTTTTATTTAATCATGAATGTAATTGTATTTTTAAAGCAAAAAATAACAAATAAGGTGAAATGTAACTTTACAAAATGTGAGAAATAAACTGGAATTCAGATAAATAAAAATAACTCGGTGAAAAGTATTACTGAGCTTGTGACTCTGGATGATCGGTCAGTCACGACACTTTGACCAAAGAACATTTTAGAACTGAGTTAGATGATAAACACTTTTTAAGGAAACCTGCATGGACAAGCGTCCCATTCAGAAAGGGTAGTTATGTTTCGAGAACACCGAGGTCAAACGTCTGAGCAAGCATGAATCAGAATGCTATAATGGCTAAGAATATGTAGCGCGTGCTCACAGGCTACCGAAACCAAGTTGTCTTACGAAAGTTAGTTAAACAAGGCAGTAAATCACGGTGTTTTAAAAGTGTTTAAATATTTAGATAAAGCTCAAAGCAAAGTGGTAAATTATTTGAAGCTTTTGTGTTCGATAAGTCCACAGTTTTTCTTCTCCCTACTTTTGATTTCTTTTAGAGATTTCTAAGAAAGTTTCAAATTCTCTTCGCACATTTTGCGTGACAGTGGTTATAACTTATGTTTACCTTGAGATTTAGCGCGGGAAATTGATGCGCGGCAAACACAATTTGATCTCCGTGCGCATGCCCGACGTTTGACCTTTGTTTTTTTTGGACTCGCTTTATGCCGCAGGAACCGCGATAGATCCAGTGAGTCACCAACACGTCGTGTTGTTGATTTTTGTACAACTGATAGATTTATTATGCACCTTTTCCAAACGTTTTTGTGGGAAGAACGTAAATGAGAAAGCGAATTTTTTTAGACTGGTGGTACTCATTATGTCAGAAGTAATTATTTACGTTTGAAATGGAGTGCGCCGAGCGCGCCTGGGTAATATTGGTCCAATTGAGCTTGCCCAACTTTCGACCGCTGTATTTGATTTGCGCCGATCTTGCAGCCAAATCTAGGCTCAATTGTCAACCGCTGTTCGGGAACCAGAGCCCGCGCTGCTCCCCGAAGAGAAGGCTGTCCCTTCTCGGAACGAAAAAGACCAGACTCGAGAGGGCGGCGGATATCGAGCCTGTGTAAAATAAGGCGTCTCTTTTTCCACCTATCGTATTCCGAAATTTTCACGGGTTCAGCTTGAATGTCTATGACTGGAACCCGTGTTTTTCAAACGAGAAAACTTTACCTTATGGCATGAGAATATATCTTCTCTTACTTTCGGGTATGTTGCTGTGTAGAGATACTAAACTTATTTTCTTCCTAGTTTCCTTAACACGCAAAGCCAACATTTGCGTTTCCCCTCAGCCTTGCAAATTACAATTTTTGTGGACTCCAAATTTTTAAGTAGCGAATTGCGTGAAAAGAAACGGTCAATATGGGCATATAAATCAGATATAAAATATACCATTAATAAGGGCAAATATTACTTTCGCTGCCTTAAATTTCTATGTCGTTCATATGACTTCTTCAGTAATTTATATCCATTGAAGAGAATTTAATTCTATTGTTGACTCAATCAATATTTTCTTTGTCCGATGCACCTTCCACATTCAGTCGGAAAAAATCTAAAGATTAAATGTTATATAACTGACAGGTTGAAATTAATAAAGCAATTAAAAAGAAAAAAAATTGCCAATAAGAAAACTATTAAACCGTGATATTAGAATGTCGAACGATCGATGAGCTATAAATAATGAAAGCTTTTTTAAAGTATGTTGTTAAAAAGTTTGCCTTCAATTTGCTTTTCATCTGCAGTGTTTGAAAATTAAGGAATTTTTAAGCATGATATGTAATCATCCAGTAGAACACTTTTAAATAAAATAGAATTTGCATCTCTGTTGAACCTTAAAAATAGCGATAACGTGATTTTCAGGTTACACAGTGGAATATTTTTTGTCGTCAAAATTTTCGCTTGTCCAAAACAAATTGAAGCTGTATTCTCTTTAATCTTTTAATGAATTTATTTCGCAGGGAGACTGACCACATTTAGACTATTTTGACTCTTGCGAGTCCTTTAACAAGGCGATTAATTTTTTCAAGAATGCAAAGGTTTTCCGTAGTTTAAACAAGTACGGACACTAATCCCTGCATACGCTTTTGTAAATAGATGATGGAATTCAGTGATTATAAATCGCTTTTGAAGTTGGAAGTTTAAACAGAGAAAACATGTACACAGGTTGCCAGATACACCAAGAATTTTACAAACACTAAAAAAGGTGTGATAAGAACCGTTTTCAAGGAGAATCAACAAAACCGCAGATTTAAGCTAAGCTCCAAAGTTTTCGGAAAACTAAATTTGGCTGCAAAAGCCTTAAGTTTAACAATAAACTTTTGCTGCAAAAGATTTTTTTTTCGTGCTGTTCATTAAAATACAGCTCGGGATCAACTCGTTAATTAGTTTTGTAAACTTTGCAGTAAGCCTTTTTCCCGATGGGTTCGCTTCAATGGTTGCCAAACCTATTAGCATTCGTTATGAGAGTTGTTGTGACCGATATTCTGCGGTTAAAGCATCGACTTTGAAAAAGTGTTTATGAGCACTTAAACCAATCTGTGAATTGCTTGTAAGTAGTGCAGAAGGAGAGCACAATGAACACCGGGAAGAAGGGAAAGTCGTTTGACAAATTAGACCGTGATGGCGTCGCTCAACATCGAAATGTAATGCACGAAATAGCCATGAAAAAACAAATATCAATGTATCAAAGAGAAGGGAAAATACTTGAGAGAGAACTTCGAGAGATTTCTAAAGTCAAGGAAACTCTCTTACAGATTAGGGCACCGTTAAGGCGAAGGGTTCAGCCAGCCGCCGTTGATGACAACTTTGTGGATACTGAGAGAAGTTTGAGAAAAACACTTGTTGCTACGCGAAAAGCAAGCGTATCTACATCGGGCGTTCAGGAAAAAATTATGAATGAAAAGGACACAGAGGGTGCTTGCGCTTCGAAACCTCAAACCACCTCTCGAAGGCCTTCACTTGAAGTCACAATCCCGTCGCCAAATCCGCTGCAACGCAAAATAAGTATGGATTTGAAAACACGTCAAAATACTCCACAGGGAATATCAAGTGGTAAAACTGCACTGATACAACGAAAGATTTCGGCGCCGACGTTTGGCTCTATACAAAGCGAAGTATCCGAGGATTGCGGCAAAAGTGGATCATTTTTGCCAGTCATCAAAACACCGAACCCTCCAGCCGATTGCAGCCTTTCGATTAAAAAGAAATCGCCATTAATTGACGGGCCTTTGAACGGAGAAAAAACCGACGAATTGGTCGACAGTCGCCATCGACCTCGTTCGCCAGCTTTGTTGACCCCAATAGCTCCAAGTAGAGCTGATACAATACGCGCGCGTTCTGTTCCTTGCGACCTACCCTCACATCTGGTAAAAACGCCGCGTTCCCGAAAACCGGTCGTCGCCCACGAATGCGCTTCGCTAACTATGGAAGAGACCCTCCGAATCAAAGGAAAATTCCGGCAGATTGGCCATTCTGTCATTGCGACCGCTTTGCTTAAAGGGTTGAAGCAGAAGGGACAGCTTTCGTCCGAAGCTATCCACAACATGCACAAACCTATTGCTTTAGACGAGGCAAGTGAGGCTAAAGTTGACGAATATGCAGAAAATGATGGAGCGGCAGCCGAAGCGACAGATAACGATGAAGATAAGATGATGACTACAGGGCAAAGGAGAAAATCTTTTAAAAATCTTGCTCGTAAAACAATCAATGTAAACAGAATGATAGGTACAGCTGGCCGGCGACGGGCGCAGTCGGACCCTGCGGCCGAGAAATCAGGCTCGGTAAATACGCCTTCTTTGCGGCCCAAAACGAGTCACCGCTCGGTGAAACACTCTGATAAAGGGCTTGTACAAGAAACGGGAAAAACTACAAGTGTGCAGCCAAGACGGAAAGATATCAACGAAACTCAACAAGATTTCAATACGCAACGAGACGAAAGTGAAAACAGTTCACAAAATCAACAAATGTATAAGAAACACACCACAGAGGTTGATACTTTGAGACCCTTAATGAATCCACGTACGGCGCATGTGCGTAGGAGGAAGAATACTGTGACTGGAGATAGGAGGGGCATCAGCGAACAGGCCGATAATGCTGGAAATAAATCTGTGCGCTTTGCATCGGATGCTTGGACGTAAAAAATCAAGGCTTTATTCGTTTAATGTAAAAATCACACAACCGACTCGCATTAAAGAAAATTATTATAATAATAAAAAGTGAGATAATAATCCGCGAGGATTGCCGATCTTGTCCCGCGTTTTAAAACAAGTATGCATTAAAGCCGGCTTTTTTTTCTTTTCTTTTTTTTTCATTTGATAGATGTTTGCGGTGGTTTTATGACCTCTAAGATTCCGGATTCAAAGTGACGTCGCAAAAGACACGGTTGAACAACTTGACAAATTTTACCAGAGCCGTGGCAGAAAAAAGGAAATTTCTTTCGGGTCACGCGTCGTATGACATATCTAACAACGGCAGACTGAAGTAGGAGACTAAAATTTGGTGTGAACAAAAACTGAAGGAAACGTAATATTAACACTGACCTTATCTCTCTATCTGAATGAGTTACCGCAACTAAATATTGTCTTTAATCAACCCCGCTGAGGTTGTTAATGCTTGTATGTCTCAGAAACTGCAACTATCCAAGAGTATTTATGAAAGCTTACCTCTTACCTCGTTTTGAGATTCTAACAAGTTACTTGACCATTCGAAAATTGTTTTCAAGTGTGCTAGAGAGCTGACAATGGACGTCTCCATTTCGGAAACAAGTTGGTAACCTTGCCATTTTCTGGCCCTTTTCATTGTAGCTCCTCGTCCTTTGGACATATCTCAAAGAAGTGGAAAAACAGGTATGAAACTCAATAACAACACAGTAAGAATGCTAAGTAAGATCCAAACTGACAGCGTCCGACTCAAATTTTTGGTACACTTCACGTCAAACCACCGTCAGTGACAAAAAACAAAGTTTAAAAAGAATGAGGAGGATTGGGCTTGAGTTCGCCAAATCTTCCCTCGTTCAACCTGAACTTCCCTCCTAAATTTGCATTCACGGTTGAGATCTCATACACAAAAGGAAAAACATTAAGAGACCAGCAAAACTTCTAAGAGGTATAAATTTATTCCTGAAATAGCACATACATTGAAAATCAGATTTTTGTTTACGAGGTGAAAAATCACTTGCTCTTAATGTCGACCAGCTCGCATTACAAAGTACATTTATAATATCCTATACCACAACTAATAGATAATGGCATATATATTAAAAAAAAAAAAAAGCGATGTACGCGTGCCGTGACGCGTTCTTGACGGCGACACCCACATTGAGAGGACGATGAAATGGTAACTTAGCAGAATGGAATAGGTCGTACGATCGCACCACCACACTTACACGGCAAGTCGATTTGATGACTTCCTTTGTGTCACAAATGAACTACGCGTGCCATTATTTCTCTCTAAGCACTTCCAGCTTTATAGCCTGGTCACATGCAACCACCCCTCTCTTTCAGTGCATAGTTAATTTTCAATCATCATAAAGTTCAATTCATGTCATGCAGCCATGCAACTGTAAATAATATGACTATTAATTATTGGCTTAGTGGTGGTCATTGTAGCATAATTTTCCATAGAATGAGACCATGAACGCATGCGCAACAAGCACTATGGAAACTTAGGAACCGACGTTTCATCACGTTTTTCTTTTATTATACCCTCACTACAATTGTTTAACCATTTTATCGTTCCTGTTTTCACAACTAGCATTTTCACGAACCTACTAAAATGCTACCTTTCGCAAGCACTGTCCCTATTAATGACCACAATGCCAATACCAGCGGAAAGCTGAATTAACTTAACTTACAAATAACGGAACCTTACTCTGAAAGCAACTGAAAAATTACAAAATGTAGCAAATAGAAAAAAATATAAAAACAGTCAAAAAAATGTCTCATACTGTGTCAAAAGTTTTATTATCAAAACTACATCTTATATCTAAATGAAACTATCTCCATGAACATCCCAACACCTTTGATTTTTTTTTTTTTTTTGCACGATTTCTTAGGAAAAAATAAATTACGACTCAGAGTGAATCATTATTCTGTTTGAGAGGATTCTTTCTTAATGACCAACTAGTTTCAAAGGTCACACGACATTTAAGCTGCACAAGAGGAAATCTCTCAGCTTCGAAATTCTAATGCTTACATAATTTGTCTACAACGAAGCCAGCATGAATTTTTCTTGTTCTTTTCTATACTTTTTTACCTTTTTTTTTCTTTTAACGTAAGAAAGTTGAGAAGAGATGACAAATGCTTGCAAGGACTCCTCTCAATTTAAGTCAAACGCGAAAGCACTCAGGAAAATTAATTTCCACGGCCAAAATGAAGGCGGGAACGCGAGAACCTGCCAAATAAATCTCTTTAAATATTTAAAAATAGCCATTACATATATATGATCAGGTTGATGCGCCTTCATTCGCTATTTCTCGCGATTCGTCGATCAATCCGCGTGCTTAACGAGAAATAGCGCGATTTTCGGGTAAAAATACTTGGATACCACCTCGTTAGGTCTAAGGTCCAGTAAAATTATTTGATTCACACACAACAGAAAGAAACATGAAATACCACTAGGTAGCTCTAAATCTAATTAGGTTTAAATCTGGCTATTAGAGAGCATCAATTTCTAAGACCAATATTTCCTTGCGTCGTTACCAAATAAACAAATTAAAGACAGACGTCATTGTTCCAACCAATGAAAACGTGGATCGACATCACTGCGTAAAAAATTACGTCATCTAACGCAAGAATGAATACTTTACGTCACTGAGCAACACCACAAACCACTGACTAGTTGCGGGCTCCTTCATAACACGAAGAATCCATTTGGACACAATTTACCAAGAAATCCCCAAGCAAAATAAAACCAATAATCTAAACTAAAAGTCAACAAGAACTAGAAATAAAAAATCTAGTATTTCTATTGATGCCCCCTTCAACCTTCTACTTACTTCAAACTTTTCACTTTTTTTTAATTTTCTAAACCTCTGACGTTACGAAATGAACTGTAGTTTGAGAGTAATATAATCTACTATTAGAAAGTAATCTTTGCAAACATAGATCTACCAGGTAAACCAAAGTCTACTTGAATTACAAAAGCTGTCATAATCATCCCACCAATAACATTTTACCGGTAGAAGGCAGGAACAGAATGTTACCCATTCTTCTCTCTTTTTTCTATGGCGCACCATGGAGCACACAGTACGGTTTGCCGCCATATTGATAAAATTGATTTCCTTCTAAATGTTTAATGCAACCTGGGTGCTGTTAGCAATAGAGTAAAAAGGAGAAAAAGGAAAAATAAATTAGTCTCCGACTGTCACAAAAAAAAAAAAACTGTTTAATCAACACTTTGAAGGCAGCGTTCAACTGCCCTGTTTAAGTCACTGTGTCTTCCCAGACAAGTCCATTTTTAGTTTGAATTTACCGCGAAATGGGATTCCCCATGGAAGCCCTTCGACCAGTCACACCTAGCGCGTGGTTAATTTCCCGGGAAAAGATAGTCTAAAAATAAAGCGCTCTGGGTTAATTTCGTGACATAGGCTCAGTATGGAAGTTGAACGCTCCAAGTAATGGTTCCTGCAGCAGTAGATTCCAACACGGATACTGCTCTCCCACGAAATGTGAACTTTGCGGCAGTTTCAGTGGTCAGACTAATTTATGATACAACACCTACTAGATTATTTCGCACATTTGTTTCTGTAAAACAGCCATCAAGACGAAACTTATCTTGCAGTAAAAGCGACTAAGACTGCTGCTTCTACCCCCTAGATGGAATAGCGGGGACCCTCAAGCGTTTCGTCTTCTCGACCTCTGGAACCCAGACCTCTTCAACCCGGAGTCAAGCGCGATGACCGTTAGTCAACCTTGTCACCCACATCCTTGACTTAAGCACGCGTCAAATGATGCCTTACCTGACACTTGAAGCAGGATGCATGCCAAGGTTCTCCCAACGCTTCTACCCATCGTTCGCCTCCACCGATCGGCCGATGACACAGTGCACATTTTACGCAAAACAGTTTCTTATAGTCCTCTTCACAATATGGTTTTCCCCGATCAACATTGAAGCCTTCGGAACCGATTTGCTTGCCGCAATGACTGCAGATGAAGTGCTCCGGATGGAATGTCTTCCCCACAGCTTGAACGCAAGGCTGCGAAAACGAAGTCATTGGAAAAAACGTCACTCAACTTTTGGCTTGATTCGAACGCGACTTTCACACAGGCTAATTTTAGAGCACTTCGCACATGTCAGTATCAGTTCTAAAAAAGTGCCAACAAAGAAGAAATAGCATTAAACGAAAGACAAATTTTGTTTGCTTGGATTCACTTTCGCTTCGACAACTCTGTAAAATTCCAAGATCTTTCAACAGTTATCATCAATTTAGCGTCTGCAGTGGTGTCACTGTCTGAACCTCAAGGACAAAACCAGTGGAGGACGAACAGAGCAACCTTAAATTGCGCACAAGTTTAAGGTGGCAAGAAAATATTGACATCTGAGCTGTTCAAAGGCTGTCCCTCAAGGTCTTTGATGCAGAGTAACGGTTTGCCATCAAGCACAAGATAAAACTACAAAGTATCATTACAAAGATCTAATGAGGAACTTAGAGACATTCTTTACACTTGGTTGTGACACAAAAATGATTCCTCCTAGAGATAAAGAGCCTTGTGTATCAATATTCACATTTTGCAAAAGAAATATGTGCATCTTGAAAATTTGGCCCTATCTGTTTAAATCTTCTCTATCTTCAGTCATCTTTGTTCTTTCTTGTGTTATTCTTGCCTGTTTTGTATTTTTTTCTCCCTTGCCGATTTTTTTTTTTTTTTTTATATTTCATGTTCCAGGTCTTTTAAAATCGACTAAAACCAACGCAAGATTGCTGCCATTGATATTCAAGACCCCAGGTGGAAAGTAGAATCGTCGCCACAATTGTTGCAAATTATGACTTAAACCTCCGAAAACGTCCGAAAATGTTCCGGCAACTCACGTCGACAACCGAAGAATTGCCATCACAACAAAAAGTCCAATACAGTATATTTTTGACGACGTGTTATGAGGAAAAGCTAAATTTAATAACTGAAAGCAGGAGATAAAACGTACAAAGCTTCATCAGTAACTTAATTTCAAAACTTTAAAATAAATATCTGTAACGTAAATACAATTACTTTGAAAAATATATTACTCCTCGCGTTAAAAAATAGGTTTTTTTTCTTTCGGGCGTTAACAATATATTCTTGTCGAAGGACAAAAGAGTGTGATATTATTAACATGCAAATGAAGGGAAAAAATAAGCTTTACAAATCGATTCAGATTTCTAGCTTTCCGACTGTGGTCTACACATAGATAAAAAAAAATAAAACTGCTATTGATTCACATGAAACTACACTTTCAAACATCAACAGCACCTAATGTTTTTCAAACTCTTCTAAACTGCACAAAACAAAAAAGCGTTTCGAAAACTACTTCATTCAGATTTCTCGCTTTCCGACTATGTTGTCAACACATGGGTACAAAAATAAAACTGCCTTTGATTAACATGAACCAATACTTTGTATATATTTCTGCAAAATCACCAGCAATTCGTGTCTTCAAACTCCTCTAAACTGAACAATACAAAAAAGCGTTTCTAATTCTACTTCATGTGAGTATAAAATTATGAACTTTACAACCAAAATGATTGAGGAACGTCTTTACTTTCTACGTTAGACTCGAAAGTTTCGATGGTTCTCTAAGAATTTTGAGTATCTTCCATAAGATACACACTAAAAAGTTTGTAGTCATTAGTTAACTTCATGGAAAATAATGAATAAATGAAAATCAACTACGATCCTACTAACTAATACGACTAATAAGACTTGTGCTGGAACCAGCGGGTCTACTATGAATTTTAAAGCTGTCTTTGTAAAAACTCTCTCTATGAATAAAAAACTAGGACACCAAATGATATTCCCGTCAACTAACTTAATCCACTTTGACCACACTACAGCGCAAGTTAACTGTGCCTCGGAAATTGCTCTCAGTTCCCCTTGCCCCTCCCCGGTTGAACTCCAACAGCCTATACTAGGCTCCAGAGAGTGAAAAATATGGAAGACTGCAGAACATAACAGTGAGATGCTTCTCGTTTGGACCCATAGTGCAAGACTAAAAATCGAAGAAACGAGCACAGCATCCATGACTGCATTTGTGCTCGATAACTGTGCATCTTTAACCACAAATCACCGTGACTAGAGGGGACTAAACGTGAGAAAAAAAGAAAAGAAAAATCCGCTGAAACGCTAAGCGCACTATTCACTTCAGCAATTCCAGAAACTTTAAAGCGATAACCATTCAAAGGTACTCTACTCAGCTTAATCGTCATGGTTTTTTCAAATCTAGTTTTTCTACAGATGAACGCTCGCTCAATTGAAACATCACTACTTCTCAAACGGGTAGTAGGTGTATTTTCGTCCTTTAAGCCGTTGTTGACAGTTGGCCAGAAGGTAACTAGCATGGCGTGTTTCGTTTCTTGCCTGGTCGATGGCATCATGTAGTTGATTGATGTAGATCTTTAGAGGCAACAGCCTCCTCTCTGCTCGACCGAACCGTTCGTTGCTATCTGCAATGTAATCCTCCATCAAATTAATCTGAAGGAATTTGTTTTCTACAGTGGCACCTTTCTCCTGACACGTGCTTCCAAGATCTTTCATTCGCTTGCGATACATTTCCAACATGTCCTGCAACGTGCGTTTGCGCGAGTAAAGCTCGCGCTTTCGGTCTTCCGCGTTTTGAAGCGCGGACTGGATGACAACAGCGCGGTGCGACGCTTCGCGAACGCGCTGCATGGACGCCTCCCTGGCTGCCTTCACCTCCGTCAGTTCATACTCGATGTTCCTAATGTTTCTCAAATCGTCTGATTTTTGGCGCTCAATCTTGTGGTTTACCTGCCAGCTCTCATTAAGAGATCTGTATTTACTATCTAATCTTCTTTGTTGATTCTGAACACGATCTTCTAGCTTAGTCACCTTATCCTCGGCTATAAACCTCTTGCGCTCGAGTTTTGCCAGTAAAATTTTGGCTTCTTTGAAGCGTTTAACCGCAGGAGGAATCGCTTCTTTGGCTTTAGCTTCACGTTCAGTGGCACTACGAAGAGCTTCTTTTAATGACACGACTTTCTCCCGTATCGACCCCACACCAGGTTCTGCGCGAGTATTGTTTAAAGTTTCAACCTTGGAGGTATTTGAAATTCCCGAGGAGGCCGGCAAACTGTTCTTACTATCAGAGGAGGTTCTTTTTTGAAGACAACTCACTCCATAGACAGGTGTTGGATAACTTGACTGAAAGCCATTCGTCAATTTAGCCTGGTTTTCCTCCGGTTCCTTCTTTAAAGTTAACGCATTGTTAAATCGTTTGTTTTTCGATTTTGCGGCGACTTCTGCTGGATTTTTGGAATTCATGGAACCCTCGCGTATTGCCTTAAGCATCGCACTTGACGGTGGAGGAACCGCTGGGGGGCATGAATGCAGGCTCTTTGGCTGCAAATTTAGGAAAATAAACACATCGCGTCACAAAGACTTAAGTCAAACGCTATAATGACTACGAAAGGTTCAACTTATACCCCGAAGTCTGGCCGAGCGACCCACGAAAGAAGTTGCTGAAACGAGTCGTACTGAAAATTTGTCGATAAAATGGTGCAGTGCTGTGCAGGTGAAAGGCAGGTTACTCGGTTATATTAAGTTATTAAGTTATTTCTTTTTTAATTTAAGTGCCCGTATTTGTTACACAGCATTTATAGCATTATCTTCGTTACATTGTTACTTACGGCCCTCGCTCGCCCTCATTCAGTAACACACCATTTATAGCATTATCTTCGTCATACTATTACTTGAGGCCCTCACTCGCTCATTCGGATGACGATGTTAAGGGCTTCTTAAAGGCTTTCTTATTTTTGTTCTTTTTGGCGGGAAAATTAAGCGTGCAACAACCAATCAGAGACAAACAAACGTCACCGTGGAATGGCTCCACAAAGATGCAACTGATCTACCTTCGAGGAACGAAATTGGTGTGTTCACTTTGGCGGTTATTTGTGGTTATATAAGGTATTTAAAATGCGAGAAGTTAAGTGCATTGTTATAAAGCTACAAGAGATAACTGAGCTATGTTGTCGCTAAGTGCTTTACATATAATGGTGTGGAACAGACTTTGCTTTCATTGGCTACGTCTTAAAAACTTAGGTTTTCCCACAAAACAGTGCGCATGGTTCCTTTCTCTGGACACAACTAAAACTTTCGAGCACCAGTTAGAAGTTTCAAAACCTCGTCTCACGCGACTGTCAAATGATGTACACGCCTTGAAAAAGACGTCGTTGTCCCACGCACGGAATATGGTCAGTCAACCGTTCACTTTTCTTCAGCGAGGGAAAACAGACGAACCTCATAGGTCACGTCAAAAGGGGGGCTTTCTGTAACACAACTAAAGCAGAGGTTCCTCCAGTATTCCTTTCGTAGCATCATCTCCTTCTCAGCCAATGTAATTCAAGCAACTTTATTCCACTGTAATGTCACCGAAGTGGATTTCCTTGGGGCCAGCACAGGGGGGTAACTACAGGCTTGTTTAATGTTAATCTTTTCTAAAAGTAGGGCTGGTGTGAAAAGACAAACTGAATCGCTTGCTTTAGCGATAAATTTATACACACCTATCAACCATTTTGGAAGAGACAGTGCAAAAGCTTGCTCAGTTTCTGCTGTCCGCTTAGCGCCTTCTTTAATCAGATTATTTAATAATTTTGCCTCTTTTCTATAAAAGACCAATTTCACATATTTTTTTTTTACCTGTGAATATTTGCCTTGCACATTAACACACCGCGTGCAGAAAACCACACCCTACCAAAAACCTCTGACCTAGCACAGTCACTCAACTACTTCAATTCAAACTTTCTGTGCAAAACAGACGTTCCCCTCTTTCGACTCTTCTCAAAATTCTCATGAAACATTACCATAAGAGCTACTTTACAATTGCGCAGGTCAGTCACATGACTGTAACATTATTTTAAGACAACACTTAGACTCCAGTGGAATAAGTACAAATCTAAAAATGCCATTTATTACATAGCCCTAACAGAACTAGATATCTTGGAGAGTTAAGCGTGGTTTCAGACAGACATTTCTTCTTTTAAAAACAAAAACACTGACCATACTCTTATGGCCACCTTGCAAATTTTCTCAATGTAAAGTGCACAGCATATTAATGTTTAAGAGAAAAAATGACTTACGTTCAGGACAATGCAGACAATGAACACCACAATAGGTGATAAAAGTGTAATGTGCTTTACAAAACTGGACTGGGGCAAAAATTTTTAAGTCTAAATGCAAACTACATTTTTTTCTAATTCTGTGTTTTATGACATTCCATTTCAAAATCTGAGGGACCAAAAAGGGCAAAATTTCATAGCATTCTTTCAATCGATATCTCTCGGCCAAACTTAGGAAAAACATGTTTATGCAGGGAGATGGAGGCACATGCAGATGACAGATTATAGTAGATTATTTCTTACCCTTAAGAGAACGTACAATTTCATCTCAAAACCACAACTGAGAATTCTTCCCTTTTTTTTCAGTTTGCAAAAGAGTTCTGATTTCCAGATACCTCAGAAAAATGCTCCACAGAATTTTTCATTTTTCTTTAGGTTCTCAGAATGTCTCAAGGCCAAATGAAACAGTGGGATTCTAAGCAACCCAAGAGCACATATCCACAGTGTTGGAGAACTGCTGTACTGGCTGTGTCAAAGGCTGATATAAGGACCATTCCAAAAACATACTTTACACAAGTTTAAGAGGAGTAAATGAAGTCCATCATTAAAATACAAAATATATGCAACATTGAATTGTTATTTCCAGGTGAAAGTATGTGTGCTTTCCCCTTAAACTTACCTTGCAGTAACAACACACCAATTCGCAGGCTAATTGTAAAACATCAAATAACCCCATGAACAGAGCATATATCTTACTAAGAGCACTTTCCAAAAAGAGAGAGACTCATTTAAACCCCTGTGGAAAATCCACCAATTTCCTTTTATCATTTTATAGGCGGTGGAGAAATTCCACCATGATAGCATTTCAAACATTCTTTTCTTTATGGGAGCATTGGCACTCTTCCATAAAAACAATACACAAAAACCATTGATTTGAGTTGAAATACAGCACCTTAGTTCGAGTGCATGATGATACATTTGACCAAATTCTCTCAAATAGCAGAACTAATGTTAACTTTTCCTTCCATGCATGATGCATCCTTCCAAAGTCACACTACTACACAAGGTAAATTGCCAAACACCAGCTAAGTGGCCTGCACCACCAGAGCATTCCTTGGTTTCTATAGCACAGAGTTGCACAAGGAGTATTGCTGCTCCCTTTCTGTAAGATGCTACCCCATTGCAGGTTACCTATCAGTATTTCACCAAGCTTTCCTGACAGTTAGCCAATAATCAAGTTTATTACACGACTCGGGCAGTCAGAGGGCCAATAACTAAAATCAACCAATCAAAATGCTCTGTTGCCGGTCCGATATTCTCTAAGTATTGGACCGGGCACTGTCCCGAATGGTCCCGAATGATACCGCACTTGTGTCCCTCTGAACTTCAGTCGTATAATAAATCTCTTATTAACCAAGCTTGCTTGGGGCCGTACTGGAAGAATATTGGCCCTCGGTCTTTTTTGTACGGACCTCGCTGCGCTCGGTCCGTACTGTCAAGACCTCGGGCCGATATTCTCCCAGTACGGCCCTCACGCTTGGTTAATAAGATATATATATCCTTGGATGAAAAGAGCAATGGGAAGATAAAGTGTCTTTCCCAAGAACATGACTCAAAGACCCCTTGTATGACAGTGATCCTTGCAGTTATGAAAACTACTTAATATATAGTCATGATATAGGGTCTGGAAAAAAATTTAAGGCCTGGCTCCCAGTTAGCGTGTCAGCTCAGTTGATAGAGCACTGCACCAGTATCGCAGAAGTCATGGGTTCATATCCCATATGGGCCTGAATTTTCTTTAGGTCTTATTTTCACTACTATATAAGCAGTGTTTATCACTGCCAGGGTCGCTTTCATACATTTCTTAAAACTGCAGTACACATGATTTTCATATATTCATATTCTTTAACACTGACCCCCCCTTTTTTTTGTCGTCACGATAAGAAAGCCTGATGCACCTTTTATCTCAACCAAGCATTGCTACCTATTGCTCATTAACTATTAGATAATTTAGTTGTTTAAAATAGTCATAAAACTTCTTTTAAATTATCAATGCATTTTTTGCCAATGATCTTTCTTTGGATTGGTAAACAAGACCAACAAAAAGCAATTATTTTTAGGACTATATCTTACCATCATTCCCTACGAACACATGCATGCAATTAACCAAAATTATATACTCACCCCAACTATAGGCTGCTTACAAGTTTCACAATGAGGAGCAAAGAACTTATTGAAGTCTTTTTCACAGTAAAGTTTTCCGCCTTCCTCAATGAAGCCCTGGTTCTGTAGCGAATCACCACATCCATCACACACAAAATGATGCGGATGCCACGCTTTACCAATTGCACTCACAAAAGGTCCACTGTTTTTACAAGAACAGAAAACAACTAGTGATGAATGACAACTAGAACTGAAAGGCACTGTGAAACACTCATCCGAGTTGCAAGGTTGCAGGGTTGCAGGGTTGCAAGGTTGCAGGGTTGCAGGGTTGCTTTCAGTTCTCTTCCTTAAATGTACTTATTCCTTTGACTACCAACATCTGATTGATAACCTCTATTGTGGTTGCTACAGTCATAACCACAACCAGAAGAACGTAAATTATCCACAGGCCCAATCAGAAATCAAAATATGAATAGCATCATGAACAGCAAAACATGTTTAACCAATCATATCTGGTTTTAGCTTTCCATCCACTAAATTAACAAAATTATCCAAGTGTTGAAAATTTCAGGCACTGGATCGAAATTAATTGCTCTGAAGAAATGCTCTGGAGTCTTGACTATAGTATCTTAGCCTCAAACAACTTACAAAACTTCCTCTCCACATGCATCGCAGAAAGGTGTTCTGGTCTCCTCCACTGAGTGTGCAGAAGGGGGCTTTGAAGGCGTTCTCTTCCATTCAGGCTGCCCAGGGGATGATGTAGGAGAGACTGCTGCAGGAGAGGCAGATGATGGAAGCTTCTGTGTTGGATGCCGGACTGGCTCAGGTGGCTGGTTCATCTGAACCATCCCTGGCAATGCAACAGGCGCAGGTTGGCCAGGCCTGGCCATAACTGGTGCAGGTGGAGCAACTGGCATATCACGGGCAGGTTTAATAACAGGTGGACTAGGTCTGTACATTTTGGGTAGTGGAGTGTTGGAAGGCTTAGAGCGATCTGACTTCTGCCTGTCAAAGACACTCCCTGGAGCATCTATGAGGAAAATAATTGTTCAGCAGTTGAAGAAATATATCCTATTCTTCAAGATGATATCATTCTCAAAACCCTATGCCACAGATAATACACAAAAAGTAACATCTCCTACAGGGAGGATATGCCAGGGAATTTCTCAACAGACATTACTTTAATGTGATGCAGATGATCATTGAAGCTCAGGTAAACATGACAAAATGTAAAGGCACAACTTGTACCAATAGAAATAATTTTAGCCCAAAAGTTACTTCTCAATAAAGAGCATCAGATCAAATGTGCTGACTTTTCAGTTTTTGCTTGTATGGCTTCATTGACAACCTAATTTAGTCATCTTAAAACAACATTGCAAATAAAGGCATTCAGTGTGACCATACTTAGTAGAGGGAACTGGTTAGGAAATGTGGCAAACTTCAATCGGATAGGTTATTGTTTGATTTTATCGAGGTCACATGACAATGACCCTGTACACATAAATCCAAAAAGGCACCGTAGGCTTGTTTTGACAGTAACGTAGCATTTAATTTTTGGATTTTTTCCGTGATCAAGCGACATCTTCCCTTCAAAATATAGTTTAAAATATTAGTTAAGTCAGTGGTCATAATGCCAGGTGAAAATTGTTCAGTATTTGGCTGTGGAACGAGTAGGAAAAGTAAAGGAATTGGAATCTGGAAACTACCGGCGCCACGAAATGCAGAATACAATAAGTGGTGAGAAGACTGGCTCAACGAGCTCACTAAAACTAGAGTTGTTGACTTAATGTTACTTATTGACAGATTGTTGCAGGCTCTTAATTCTAACTATATCTGCCTTTCTTGTTCTTTGCTGGGTCGACAAATTTCCTTTCATAGTGCTTTTGTCTTCATTTGTTTACATTGAATTTTTGTTTCTGTATAACATCTTTGGCCAGTGAAAAACACCGTAAAGGAACATATAAATGAATAATGCTGTCCAATACATCTTTTGCAATGCTGTTATCTACCACTATGTCAGAGTCCAACAACATGGTATTATATGCTGAGACCAATTGAACATCACAAGCTGATTTGGATTCAATCTTTGCATTGTCAATCTTCAGCTGGAGACTTCCTGAGATCAGAATCCTAAAATTATGTTCTATTCTCTTAAAAATTGTTTGAGGTTGTTTAGAAATAGCCCAAAGTCCACCTCGGTTTAAAGATTAAATTATTTTTTGACTCTCTGCAACATGCAAATCTCTTGCTTGCCAGCTTTCAGTATTGAAGCCGTTTGTTCAGTATGTGCTGTGGGATTGTATACATTGTTCACCTTGCTATAAAGCTTGTGCATTACATATCCTCCAATATATTGTAACCATTTCTCTATCACACAGTTTAGTAGGGATATACACGCTATGCATAATGAAAATTTGCTTGGGAAGCCTGGTAACAGGTTCGCATGAAAGCGAGGTCGGTCGGGCCACTCTGTGTTTGCAAAGCTGAATCTCTTAGAATTTGTGTCATTTTTCAACACTTTTGGTTTAATTTGTGTATTTGCCGATCGATGCCTTTGAACTGTTGTGTTCCCCAGTGTACCTTCAAGGGTTATCGGAATGCAGGAGGAGACAAAGTTTCTTTTTTTAACTTTCCAAAGGACCCTAATTTACGTAAGAGTTGGATTCATGCGATTCGAAGAGATCCTGGAAAGGATTTTCAACTCACTGGTCGTACGAAGGTTTGCTCAAGGCATTTCAAGACGACAGACATGAAAACAACCCTGGCTGGAATTGTCAAATTAAAGCCAGGATCCATACCATCCAAGTTTGCTTGGTCTTCTCAATCGCCAAAAAAAAAAAAGTCACCAAGCAAGCGTCGAGAACCCTCAACACCACTGAAAGCTTCTAAAGACGTCATCCCGAGAGAAGCTTCGACAAGCAAATTTGTTCACGAATTTCTCGAGCCGACGATAGAGGAAACTACTCGCAGAGTACAGGAGAGATAATACAAAATTGAAAGAAGAAGTATCGAAACTTCAAATTCAGCTTAATGAACTTCAAATAGCGAAACAGCAACAAGAAAAGGCGAACAGACACCTCATGGCTGAACTCTGGTCAGAGCGTCGTGAAGCTCTCGAGACTCTGTTTAATCATGAAGCCGAGAAAGAGAGGATGGAAAAGAAATGCAGTCTACTCGAGAAAAAATTACAAGATGCTGAAGCAAAGCTTTTCAAGTTGGATAATTTGAAGTCGGATGAGAACATAGCTTTTTATACAGGTTTTCCTAACTACACCACAATCCTCGCAATATTCAAGTTTTTGAACACAGGAGACAAAGGGGAAAATGTGAGATATTATTCATCTAACAAGAACGAGGTCACTGCTGACTTTTATCAAAACCAGGAAGATGAGGAGGAGGAAGAGGCATCCCAAAACACTGAAAAAGGAAAAGCTGGCAGACCAAGAAAACTGGCAGTGATTGATGAATTTTTCATTGTAATGTGTAGACTGAGAAGGGGATTTGCTGAACTTCATTTGGCCAATCTGTTTGGAGTGTCTCAGTCGACGATCAGTACATTGTTTACAACATACATCAATTATATGTATTTAAAAACTGGTCAGGTTAATATTTGGCCCTCAAGGGCTATTGTAAACAAAACAATGCCAGATATCTTAAGGAGAAGTATCCTAACACGAGAGTCATAATTGACTGCACCGAAATACGTTGTCAAATGCCAAGTGGACTACTGCTAAATTCAGAACTGTTTAGTTCATACAAAAATCATGTTACCTTCAAAGATCTTGTTGGCATCGCACCAAATGGCGCCATCACATTTATCAGTCAACTATATACCGGAAGCATATCAGACAGGGAGATTGTCACGAGGAGTGGGTTTTTGGATTTAAATTTTGACGAAGGATATGCTGTAATGGCAGATAAGGGTTTCACAATAGAAGATATACTACCCTTAGGAGTGTCTCTTAACATCCCTCCATTTCTTGGAGAAAATGCTCAAATGTCAAAGGAGAATGTAATCACAACCCAACAGATTGCAAGTGTCAGGATCCAGATAGAGACGGCGATCAATTTAATCAAGAACTACCATATTTGGGATGGTGAAGTGCCACTGAATCTTATAGGACTGCTCAATCAGATGTGGAGTGTATGTGCATTTCAGACTAATGCACGCAATCCACTTATTTCAGTCTAGTAGAGTGGTTTTCATCAACGTACTAAGTACTAAACATGTGAACAATAAGATGTACTAAATAGTACATTTTCATGACATGTCATGTCATCCTCCGAGTCTAGTTGTGTGGTATCACTGCATTCATATAAGGAAAATTTACAAAGCTTTAGCATTAAAGCTAAAACATGATTGCAGAGTCCCACTTTACCAGCCACGCATGTGCAAGATGCTTCCTTGTCTTCACCAGTTATGAGGTCAAGAGCTACTTTCAACTTGTGTGGAGCTTCATTTTTTTTAAAACTGTGGTAACAAAGCGACTTAAAATAGAAATAGGGATTGTCACTTGCAGCTTCTATCTGTTTCAGATACTCGTCAAGCAAGAAGTTCTTTGCCTTTTGAAGTCCAGTAGGAAGAGAATGGCCTTTACCTCGAGGATCGATGATTTTACCGGTTTTTCATATATGCGCATCCAACTCTGCCCTGTTAAAAGCTGGCATTTTCTGTAAGCTGGATGACCAACCATCCGCTGGAAACTTGACTGCAGCAGGACTGCTCTTAGGTTGTGTCTGGATGGCATTCCCCTGTTCTCGTCGCTGTTTACGCTTCGTATATAATTTATTTTCGTCTGGATCGACTACATTTTTGTCTTTTCCAGTCTTGATATACTCTTCCACCCTTCAAATTGAACAAAAAAAATTTCAAATGTTTCATTTACATATACGTATCCTGGTTCGTATCCAACAGTTAATTAAGGTGCGGAACCGCACTTTCAATCAAAGACGATCGAGTCTGAGCGATCTATAACTTTACATTCTGAATTCAATATCTCTTTGGATCAATTAGAACATTTTATGAGTTTTCTTTCTTTAATGGACAATAATATCTATGAGCTTCTTAATACTTTAAAAGTAGAATCAATTGTTGTCATCTCACCTTTTAACAAGTTGGGCTTTCATCTTTAGACCTTTGGCGGGATCTCCTCTGCATTTTAGCCAGAATTTTAAGTCTTGAACTTTTAAATTAGCTGGAGCTCTCCCACTTAATGATGAACCAGGAATATCTGCTTCTGAGAGCTTTAAATTGTTTGAAACCGAGCTCATTATGTGTTACTTGCCAGGTAAAAGTATCCGAAGAAACACACAGTGGCCCGACCGACCTCGCTTTCGTGTAAACTTGTTACCAGCCTTCTCAAGCAAATTTTCATTATGCATAGCGTGTATTGGGGTTTGGTGATTCATCTTTCTGTTTGCTGTGAGCTATCAATCAATCAGCCAGTTTGGTACTAAGCAATGTTGTCGCATTACTTAACCCCACCCCACAAAAATCTTTGTTAAATCGAGGCCTATTCTTGAATAGTACTTTGAGTAGAATTGTTCTGCATTTCCAGTTTTAAACAAATGCATATACATGGATTCTACTGCTGAGAAGTCTATAAATTATTTTCTTCATCCCAGGCAATCGTATATCTTTGTAGCTCTTCTCTTACGCTTTGAGGGTAGATTTTTCTTTCAATTATTTTATCTCATGCTTTTATTGACAACACTTCGAAGTCTTCAGCAGTGAATTTGGCTTCTTGAGTCGGTTGATTTCCCCGCCATTGTTCTTCGTTATGCTTTACTGTCTTGTGTCTTTTTAATCCAGCCTTAGTCTTGCATTTCTTTTGGCACAACTCGCAAACAATTCCTTCTTCATATTGAACCTAAAAATTGAAAGACTTTCAGTAAAAAAATATGTTTTACTACTACTGATGCCGCTGCTGAGGGCATCAATAACTGCAAAGTTTTTGGGCGAAAATAACGTTTTAAAGGCTTCTCAAAGACTTACAGAGTCAGCTGCTTTGACAAAGTGCTCTTGTGATTCTTCCTCGTTTTCCAAAGTTTCCAATATGGCATCAAAATCATCGCCAAAGAAAAATAAGTCGTTTATGTCCACCATGTTGTTTTGGTTCTGCGCAGGGTCATTGGTCACGTGACGTCCAATTGAAGCTCAGGGGACAGACAATAGGCCGCCCCTTTGAAGTTTACCACGTTTCCTAACCAGTCCCCTCTACTAACTATGGTGTGACAGGATTGAACATTAAGAAATATCACTTAGAGTTTCCTCCTTCTTTAAGCATGATTAGCCAGGTGAGTTGTTTGCACCAATTGAATGAAAGTAAAAATACAGGTGAAAAATCAACTGCCCTCTCCTGATAACTCAACACTGGAACACAATTCCCAGCTTTTTCCCAGCTTTTAAAGTTGTGTACTCGAGATTTCTCGGAGGCTACAGTACAAGAAATCTTGAAAAAATTCAAAATTTGTCATGAAAGCCTCAAAGTTATTTTTAAAAATTGGTATATTGGACATGAACTAATGTTGGCTAACAATAATCAAGCTGTTGTGGGGAATATCAATGATATGAATCTAATCCTATGACCAGCTGTTTGTTGCATTATTTCTTAATGGAGTTGTTGAGAACTGCCGTGATGAACAACCAAAAAACTTATATGTCTTCCATAACACTCAACTGAACAACTGCAGAGACTGGGGCGAAAAGCCAGAGAAAACTCAGGCTCCTTATACTTCTCTTTCTATACAAATGGGGTAAGTTTCTAACAAAGCTGTGGTGCTGCATCAGTATAGGGTAAGACAAGATACTTTGGTTTTATCAGTGGAGTTGATAATGTGAGTTGGCCACCACACGGAAATTCTAAGTGTTAAACCTTTGTCTGAGCAAATCGATTCACTCTGACCAAGGTGTATACCTCAAAATGTCAGCTCTATTATCTTTTTGCAGTGATTAACTCACATCATCACCTCAGTTGATAAGATCAAATTATCTTTTCTTTCTGCAATTTCTTTAAATTCCATTTCACCTCTGTGGATGATTACTTTATTTTTTTAATCATCAACAGGAAGAAATGCACATTTGCTTAATTCTTTTGTGATTCCACATATCAAAAACTATCTGCAGGTAAATTTAACAAAATAAAAATTATCAAATCAACCTCCTCCTTCCACGACATCCTGAAGCATTTTGAAAGTTCTTGACTGCACATGCTTTTCTGCATCCTCTTCAGGGACATCATAAGCCTCAGGGGGAGGTGGAGGTAGATCTGTTGAGAGAAACAGAAACAGTGAAAGGATTCTGCATCACCTCTAATTTATGTATACATTTTTAAAGTCTTTCTACAAAATGTAAGTTGGCCCAGCCTTAAATAATGGAAAGCTTAAGTTGACATGGAGCACTTTTAGTGTTGTAGGACCAAAACCAATGAAATCACAATGTCCAATCAGCAATGAGCCAACGAAAATTCAAAATAAGAACAATAAAACTGCTTGCTCCAAGCGCCAATAAAAAGAGGGGCACCGCAATAAAAAGAGGGGCACTGCATCTGATTGGTTGAGAGACTTCACTTATGCATCTGAGCGTGATTTCTCCTAACCAATTATAGACCAAAGCAATATAAACCAAATGCAAACCTAAGATAACTTTCAATACTTAAAAAGGGGTTGCTTCAATGACAGATTGATTGACAAATATGAAGGATAACCTGAACCTGATCCTGCTTGAAGACATAAAGCTTAAGGACACAAGGTAAAAGGGACAATTCAAGCACTTCTTACGTACCATCCTCATCAGCTTGCTGCAGATGTTTCTGAAGTCTCTTGAAAGACTTGGACTGAACTTTGGGATCTGGTGGATGACCCCAAGTTGGTGGTTCATCTGCAAAGCCCACTAATGGAAAAAACAACTACATGTAAACAAAAAGAGCTTTTGGGACTTCTAACTAAAATGGTTGGTTCACTGTAAAAAGAAAAAAAAGACTTCTGGCTCGTTTGACATGGCCTTTTGTCTCTGCCAAAAATATCCTTAAGACACAAGAATCAAAACAAAAAACAAAACAAATTATTACATTTTGGGTTTGAGATTTGCATGCTCTGAACTTAATTGTGATTACTTGGCACACAATTGACCTATCAACATCAAATAAAAGTGTTTGCAGACTCCCATGTCTAATGGCAAGAAATCCCATTTACACAATTCTCCACCCTGTTCTCTACACATTTCCTATGGTGTTGACAACAAGAATTTGTCTAACACTCAAGAGCTTTCTTAGTTAGTGATCATTTCCTTCACTCTTTTGATTCATGGGATGATACTGTAAGGAGATACTACACATAAATGTTAGTTGTTCTTACAGGGTTGCCACTCATTAGAACCCAGAAAATTCCCTGACTTTTCACTGACCTCAAAACATTTTTCACTGACCTTGAATTAAATTAATTATCAAACAGGCCAAATCCACTTTGACATTTCTCCATCGCTTTTAAGCTTTCTATCTGATTTGCTACACTCGATAGACTACTTAACAAACTTTTGTGGAACCCTCAAAACAAACTTCCCTGACTTTTCGCTCACTTTGACAAGAACTAAGATTTTCCCTGACTTTTTGCAAAATTCCCTGACTTTTCCCTGACCTTGAAAAATTTTTGTTTTTCCCTGACTTTTCTCTGACTGTGGCAACCCTGTCTAAGAGATCAATAGAGATCAATACACTGTTAATACTTTTAAAATGAGGAATCATCTTCTCACCGTCACCATCCTCGCTGATATCCAGTTTAAAACGCTGAGCAAGATCTCTGTCATCATGGCTTGGTCTTGAAACTCCACTGTCTAGGTGATCAGCACTTTCTCTAAAAACAGAAAATCCAAACAAAATTAATAAAATTCCTTTTAGAATGTACCTGGTTCCTTTACCAGTGCCAACCAAAGGTTACAAAAAAAGGTTCTCAGTGGCTCCATTAACAGAGCATCTGACTTGAAAATCAGATGGAACAGGCCGAGGTTTCAGTCCTCCTTTGTCATTGTGGTCAAAATAATATTGTCATCACCTGGCATAAGTAGCTGGATTAGGAGGCGGAGCTGGATTAGGAGGCGGAGGAGGAGCTGGAGGACCTGACAATCCCACTGGTCCAGTTTTTGCAACAGGAGCATGCTGAGCTTGGAATGTTGGGGGCTGCCAGGTTGTGCTACCTACTGGGGATGTGTGGACAGCTGTTGGAGCTGATGGCTGTGGGGCATGAGATGAAGGTGGAGGTGATGATGCACCAAAAGGTTTGGCTCTTGCATTAAATTTGTGATCCACCTTTGCGGAGTGTACAGTTTCTGTCACTACAACTGATTTAGTCCCCTCTTTCCTAACATACAGAGGGGAGAATGTATAACTTTTAACTCTGCTGCACGGATCAGTCTTAATTCAGATGCTAGTTGTTCTTGGAGTTAATTAAAGGGGTTAAATGAATCAGGAGACTGATTCATTTAACTGGAGACTTGAGCAATCAAAATTAATCGATTCCATTATATTTTGAATGTTAGTTGATTCATCTTAAAGTGCAGCACCAAAATCTGCAGTTGTCATTTACACTGTCTTTTTTATCATGTGTCAAGTTCTAGCACAAGTTAAGTTGAAGCAGAGGTTAAGTTCAAGTCATGAGTATTAGTAACCATCTTATGCTCAGTTGTACCGATTGGATATCTAAAATGTCAGAGAGGGTGGCACCAGAAATACCCTAATCATGAATGGGCATTTTTTTTTTCTATATGCTGCTACACCCCTCATTACTAGAGCCACACAAAACTATACAGTTATGACAGGATTGCTAGCTACAATTTGGATTGTCTTTTTGTAGCTATACCATGCCACAAGTCAAGTTCAAGTGTGAGCCAAGTTCAAGACATGACTATTAGCCACCATCTTCTGCTTGGTTGCATTAATTGGATATCTAAAAAGGTGTCAGACTGGGGTGGCAGGAGAAACACCCTAATCATTCATGGGCATTTTTTTTTTCCACATGCCACTTCATCACTCATCACTAGGCCCACACAAAACCGTACAGTGCTGACAGGATTGCTAGCTACACAGGCTATGAAACTTTTAGCATTGCAGGCTGGTTTCACTTTCTTGAGTAATGCAGCCAGAGACAGCTGCACAAGTCATCGCACGTGCAAGGTGAACCAATCAAGGCTTGGAAGCTATCCAACCAAATGTGGCTAATCATCATGAAACTTTATCTATTATTAGTCTATACTGATTAGAAATTATAAAGAGAGCTTTTTAAGCCATCTTTCTTTAAAAAAATGACTAAGTTTTGCATGGACACTTATTTCTTGCTCCAAACCAAGACATCTGACAATGGAAACAAAGTTCATGATTTCTGAAAAAAATTTCCAGTTCTACAGGAGAATTCAAGATTCAAAATAAAGGGAATTTATCGATGAAAGACACACTTGCATAAATTAACAAAGAGATATGGTTGCTGGGGCAAAATGAAAGCTGCACATGTAAGAAATTGTTACACGTCTCTCAAAGAAACAAATGTATTTTAGAACCCATTTCTCATCATTGTTTAGGTCTTCTCAAAATATCACATTCTTTTTGCACGAGAAAACCAAACAAGGAATTGACATGTTCTAGAATCACCAATCCAAAATATACATGAGATAAACTTAAATCTTCACTTTCGAACCAGTAATTTTTGCCGAAGAATTACCCGCCGACAGTTGAAGGATATTCATCAGTCAAAGACGTCAAAGACTACCAAAGATTGTTTACAAAACGCCAAAGAACCTTTCGGACATACTAAAATAGACTCTTGCAAAGTCAGATTTAATCGGATCGAACCCTGCCAAAATCTTACTAATCGAGACACAATAAAATTTACATGAACTTTTGTATTTATAATAAACAAGAACTGCCCACTGAAAGAGTTATTCACAGATTTTAACACACATCTCGCTTCGAATCTGTCGGGATGCTGAAAATTCTGGAGTGCAGCAAAATCAATGTGTTCCACAAATGTACTCGACAAACTGCAACAAAAACTGCTTTATACTGTAGTTTTAACTTTCATCACGTTCCACTCACTTGATCCTAAACTGCTTTTACGAAGAACAACAAGCGAAAATAATCTCTTGAAAGCTTTTTAGAACCAGCCTCGTGAGATAGATGTTCAGAACGAACAAAGACGCTGGTCCATAAACATTTACAAGAATCTTTACTCAAAATTCAACATTGGCGTCCACTATCTGCGGAAAGCCACATCATGATCGAATTACATTGCAACCACAAGAATTGTCGTTGGTTTCACGAACCAATTCCTTTTCTCCAACGTCACAATTCTGAAGGAGTATTTCAATCTATGGTCATCTCAAATAAAAAAATTTTTCTCCATGATGGAAAGCGTTTGTTACTCGCCAAGTTAATGCAAATATAGTCGTTTAATTGTCTCCAAGTGTGAATTTATCCAAATGGACAAAACGACGTGAAATCTTCTTGAGTTGTTCATTTCACCGCAGAACACTCAGTGTACTGAAACTTGAAGAACGAATATCTTAAGAGCTGAAAGCCGGTCATAATTTTACACAGGCCTGAAAGCTATCAAAACCGTAGAAAATGCATCCAGCTAGGCATATTATCTTACCTTTGAAGCAGTAAGTCTAAATTCTGCCCAGCCCTCCTTACAGAATCCTGAGCTTCGAAATGACTCATGTTCTCTGTTGTACCTCCATTTACTTCAAGAATATAATCCCCTGATTTTATTCCAACTACATCAGCTTTAGAACCTGGTGTAACCTGCAAAGAAAAGTGTCGGAATCGCGTGCAAATCAGTAAGGTTTAGTTAAACACACAACTAACATTGCACCCTTGGTCATTCGATGAATGATTCAGCAAACTACAGCAAATGATACCTTCGAAATAGCCAAAGGACTGCCAAAATCTTTGCCACCTTGCAGTCGAAAACCCCACGGGCCACCTCCTCGGAGCGAAACCGTGTACGAAGTCCCCGCCATTTCTCAATGTTTGGAAACAGCTTCCAAATATTACGTCTACAAAACACCTCACACGACACTACATCAAAAACATTACAGTCATCCAACGCACACAGAACGAAGACCCGGGTGGAGCGGCATTCCAATTGGCTCATACACAATGGATTGATAGTTATGAAACTTGATTGGCTTCGAGACACACCTTCGGAACTTCTGTATTCTTTTCAATTTCAATCCATTCAAGCTTGCTAACTTCGTAACATTTGTTTTCCATGCTTGAGAAAACAAAAGTATTTCAGTAAAAGATGGGTTAGGAAATGGGAAAAGAACCTGTCCATATTCTATAAAAGAAAGTCCAAAATGACTTAAAGGCAACCACATCGATGTCACAAATCCACATTCCTTGCGTATTTTGAGGAGGAAGTTGTTGTAGCCCAGAGAGAGCCATTAAAGGTAAAAAGGCCATGCAGAGGAATAGCGCACATAACAGACGAGCAGTCTTTCCAATTGTCCTGGGTAGCATCGGTTTTATTAGCGGTAAATCAATACGTTTATTTTTAATTTCTATTATGACTCACTACCCACCACAGTTAAAATATCACAAACACTTACCTCCAAAAACCAGACGACCATTTCAGAACAAAGTTTAGCTATATTACTCATTTTAGACCAACGCGTATTTATCCAGGTATTTCCTACTAGACGGGCCATATCTTCCGATGGTTTATTCTATCCTCAGATGAACACTATCAGCTGATTATCTGATTATGGTAATCAATTTAAACCAATCAGAATCACAGAAACACGCACATCGCTGCCATATAAATAGAAACATGATGTTTACCCAAGTCCCACTCAAATCCTCAATCAACAGGGAAGAATATTCAAATTCTGAAAAGAACATTCAAATAAGATTAAAGAGATGATTTTTGAAAGTGTCTATATAACACGGAATATTATTCATGGGGTTTTAAAGTTTTTACATTTTTTCGCAATTCATAGATACATTATTTTGATCAGTGACAAGTTCGTCGGTGGTATCTCGCCAACAAAAATAAAACACTCAAAACGAAGAACACTAAATCAAACAAGACTGGAGTACTGAATGTTCGAGTCTGTAGGAATTACTTGAAGCAATGACGCTAGTTACCAATCCCTAGAAGATGGCGTTAAATTGGTCGGGCGTTAGGCGCAGCTGGAACGGCGTTTACGGCGGTGAAAATTTGGTGGAATCGGAAATATATTTTGGACAAATTGTTCACAAAGACATCCAAAATTTTAAAGATCTCAAGGCTACATACAATCTTCCAAACAAATGAAACAAGGGAATAACCTAACTGCTGTTAGGCTCCTGATAAAAGAGATTTCAAAAGTGCCCTCCCAAAAAAATCATTCCTTGTCAGATGAATCAGATACTCTTACCCTAAACTAGATAACTTGTTATTTACCGTCTCGGGGTGAGAGGACTTTGGGGGGGGGGGGGTATCGCATTATTTTCAGCAGGAACAGAGGGAGATTAGTCGTCGTCAACAAAGTATTGAGAGGGTAGAAAAAATTGCAGGCCAATTAACTGTTAATTTGGGGAATCATGAAAATATTACAAAGCCTTATGGGGAGAGGGGTCAGGCAAATTTATCGTGACACGATCAGAATCCTCCGAGCCCCACTGGTGGTGAATAATGACCGATCCCTTAAGATAATCTAAAAGTTTTCAGCCCTTCGTTATGGGGGAATCGCCGTAACCAGAGGGTTCGCCGGCACGCTGGACTCTGAACCCAAAAGTCTGAGCTCTGACAGGGATGGGGAGATGTTCTTGTCGTGAAAATTTTTTTCAATTCTTATCAATGAGAAGCAATCTGCAAGGGCGTTGACAGAAATAAACAGATTTTTCCCATTTTTCCTCCAACTCGTTTCTCGCTCAGGGGTACGAATGACGTAGGAGAAATATCTAAGGACGAGTAGGACGGAGAGGCCTTGGAACGAGGTTAGGCTACTTTCATCGAATCTAGGCAAATAGGAAGGTCGGCGGTTGAAGAAGAGGGGTTAATTCGATGAGTAACGGTAACTTTTTGCGTCAACACCAATCACTTATCATTATTGCCTTAGGAAATCATTACAGAACAACTTATCAAGATTGATCTTTATGTTATGCGCTTTTGCCTTTTGTCATTGTGTCGTGTAAATTCCACCTTTCATGTACACTGTTGGCATACACCAAATTTGCAAAAATATGTTCGAATTTAAGTAAACCGCAAATCAAGGCAAAGCAATATTAATTTTGGTATCATAAAAGAAAACAATTTTATTTTATTTTTTAAACTTTTATCGTTAACCCTCTTTTTCCTGGTCGTAAGGAGGTATGCACCGGAAAGCACATCATGTTCATTTAAACTGATTATTACCCTTTCAGACTTCCACTCTGGACGCCACCATTTTGAAAAGGCAGCTCAGTAACCTGGCCGTAAATGGACATTCAAATCGGGACATTCATATTACATGTTATCTTGGTTATCGCAACAACAAAAAAACTCATTATTTACGGCAATAATGCCTTTTTGAGTAGCTCTATATCGCTAATAAAGATAACAAAGAGACAGAAAAAAGAGGATCAAGATTTTATATCGTCACGGGTAAGCAGCCAGGCTACTTTGCAAGATGGCGTAGTCAATTCACATTTTTGAACGGTTCGGATACTCGTTGAGATTTGAAAAATAGGTCACCGTTTATAATTTCGTATTTTCTTTGAAATGATGTCGATAAAAGGTATGTTTTCAGAAGCATACATCGCCTTGGAAATCTGTTATTGTCTCCTTAATTTAACAAATAGATTCTATGTTGCCATGCATCTGTTCAGTATTAGAGATTAGCACCGTGTTTGCGTGAAACGTGTACGGCAAGAGTGACCATGTGATTGTTTGTCCCGCCTTTTTTTCACGTTTGCCGGTTGCGTTCTGCCGTTTTTACGCGAAAGTAACATATTTCGCGTTTGCTATAAACGTGAGATTTTCTTCACTTTTTCTCTCACAGAGTAAATTAATTGCCAGAAAAAAGGCACCAAAACTATTCTTTGTAAGTCATACAAGGACGCCTTCAAGTCCACCATGACGTGACCTCACGCCAAGCTAAAGCAGCAAGGTTCACACTTTTTACGTGAATCGTAAAAAGGACAAGCTGACTTTTGCCGTTTCACGTTAACATGGTGCTAAATCTCTCTAATAAATCACAGATGACGTCAAAAAGTGGCAAGAACAAAAAAGGACAAGTGAGGCTGGGGCGTCCCCTAGATCTCTTATCTATAACTGCGCCGATCCATGGAAACATGGATACCATTAGCTTTATATGATAAAAAACAATGTTGTTAATGGTAACGTAATCTTAGCGTCTTTCCGCCCATATATCAAGAGTAAGAACCAATCAAAATGCGTGTAGGGTCAGCCTATCCTACAGATTTCAAAGGAGACAATAAAAAATAATCCTAGAATAACATATTTATGACATCCATAACTGACGTCTATGTGTCATGCATACATTATAGATAAAGTCATGACTCGCAACTGACCTTCCATCTGTACCATAACTGTAGCCAGGAATCTGACCGGAGAGCAGAAACGCGATAAATTACCCAGACCTCCAACGGCTAGGCCTGTCCCGATTTTGCTCGGCAACTTTTGAGCAACTTTTGGCGGTTCTAGCAAGCTTGAGAATTGTTTGCTTTTCTGAGTAAATTTTTGTGAAAAATAGCTCATATTGAGTGTGGAAGATATATTGATCGCATAAAAAGACTTATTCATGAGAATTTCCAGAATGTTTATCGAATATTGGTAGCCATACGCAGTATCACCCATCATTCCTCGATCCCCCACCTTTTCGTTCCGCTGTTATCGGGGCAACCCAAACATACTCTTGAGTCCAGAAGGCAATCATCAAATGTTCCTCCAATTCCACGTAAACAAATTAAGCTTCATAACGCAAATCTGAAAAGACTGGCATCAATTCAGGATGCGTCAAATTTTTTTACCTTTGATTTCTGCGTCAAAAATAAAGTGGATCGTTGACGATTGAGGATTAATTTTCATTTCCTTCTAGAATTCCACGGACGTTTTTTGGCATATAGAATACAAAAGCGAAATAGTATTATTTGGGCAATGTTGAGATCTATGAGTATCAAACACTATAAAGAAAGTTTGAAGAAGGGGCAAGATTCCCTCTCTTAAACGGATAACTTTACAAATACCCGATATTATTCTCCAATCATAAAAAAAAAATTCGTTCCTGTTGTCTCAACAAATTCCGTTTGTTCCGTTTATCTGTCTGAGTTGCTTATTTCAGGGCTTTACCATACCACCTCATTTACGTCAATCTTCTCTATTAGAATAAAGTGTTTCCTTCAACTGGTGATGATTGAAGAAGTGTTAATGTGAAAAATCTTAACATGAATGGTAATTTCCCTTTTAGCCAAGTAAATATGACTTGTGGCACCTTGAAATAACCTTAATTGCAAGAAGGAGGGGAACTGCTGTTTCTCAATCCAAAAAACAGCAGACTTTTGATTTCCTGGCTCAGACTGGTAGAGGAAGATGCCACCTGTACACTTCATTGTCATACTCTTGCCTCGTGACATGTTTTAAAATATCTTCTTCCACAGTCTCAAGTAGTTAGTTGCGACTTTGATACACGTAAGCCACTCAAGCACGCATTGTAGACCTTTTGTGTAGACAAAGTGTGTACGATAATAATCATGACGAGCGAACTGTAGGTTGAGAGAGGGTTCAAGTCAATACTTTGGGAGAATACTTGATGAATTTTAGGGAGAATAAGCAAAAAAAAAAACTACTCGCCCCTACCCTTCCCCCCTCCCCCACTTCATTCGAGTCCACTCAGCAGAGGGGGAAACTGCTGCCAAAAATAAAAACACAAAAGAACAGGCAATAGGGACTTTAAGAAACCACGACTGCACCGCCAAGGAAGACTTCGATTAAAAAATGAATTTCTACTCTTAGTTAGAATTTCAAAAATGGCTGCAGGAGCTTACTGTCTCATACAGCGCCACAGCTCAACTTCAGCATGACGTATAAAGTAGCCTTCGAGTTCCAAATGGAAATTAAAATAATTTGCCGTCGCGGTTTCGGTTCGCAGACGACGCAAATTTTGGTGATTTCACATTGTTGTTTTGCATAGGACGGGTAAGAAATGTACAAAGTTTCAAAACGCACGTGCAGAACTATGCCCTGCCAATTAGAGCTCTTGTTTTTCCACGTCCTCGTTGCCGTCGCCGTCTTGGTTTCTTAAGGTCCCTATTATTTGTCGCCCATAGGAAGGAGGACTTTGCTCTACCTGACCACCTTATAAGACTATAATATTCTCATGATCCCTCCCTGGGGCATTAATAGGCAATCAATTTTCTAAAGTCCCCCCTCCCCCCTTTATACTCTGATAGCCACGACTGATCTCCTCTCCGTTCCCCCTGATAACCATGTGATTCCCTTAAAATCCTACCCCCCTTAATAATGTATTTCACACGAATAATAACTACAACCTTGTTGACGAAAGTTCCCACAAGTTTATTAAAAAGTTTTTCCACCAAATAACATAATATTTTCTCACTTGCTTTTTTTTGGTCTAAATTGTGCCTCGTCATTGACAAAATAAGCAAATAGCACTAAAGTCTTCCCAGTAACACTAGCGTACGTAATAATTGACAATATATCTCCCAGTTTCTCTATATGATCTCCTCTATCAAAACATGGTGATTCTACACTAGAACGTGTATAGTTTTCTTTCATTAAAAACTTAATCAGAACGCTTTCAAATGACCTTTAAGTATATTGTAAAGATTTAATAAGAAACATTTCCGAAACTTCCTCGCTTTTTTGTTTTAAATATTGGTCAATCAAGCGTGAGTTAGGAAGCAATTGATGATTACTCCGCCTCTTTGTACGTTTAACTCGAGAATTTTAACTTGTAATGCATGTTTTCCTGCGCTTTAGAAAAAAGCGCTTTCTGATAAAGTATTGTAAAACCGATACAAAGTTATCACAATGGCCAGTCAAAAGAAACTTTAGAAACTGTTTTTAAAAGCCAACGAGAATTCAAATTAAAAACAACAAAATTCTCAAAGCGCGGGAATTAAAACGCGGGTGGCCATGTCGTTAGTTTTTCTCCCGATTGGTCGAGAGGATGTCGCTGCTCTTCAGAACCAATCAGAGAGCGAAGCAAAGACGAACCATTGAAGTCCGGGATTATTTTCTACACTAAATTGAAACATGCCCCCATGGAAAATCATTCGAAAGTCGTTCTGCATTTCATACTCCTAAACGCAAACAAAACCTTGAACTAAGGTTAACTTATGCATACTCAGCATAAAAGCCAATGATATCTTTTGAGAGAAATACAAGAACAATCTTGGAAGAAAACATGGTATCCTGTATGAACGATTACTTACAATCACAGCAATATTAACAAAAACACTCAAAACTTACGACAAATAATTATTTTTTTTTTGTAGAAATATTACTCCCTCTGTGCAAATGCATTAAATGAATACAACTCTAGTTTTCCAAACCTTTCACTTTTCTGAAAATTAATTTCTGAGTAGCTGAGTATAACTTCGCTGAATAGTTTTCATCCATTATTCTTTACTTCGAATTTAAAAAAGCATTTGGTTCTGTGGATAGGCTATATACCAAAATTCAAATTAACTTGAAGTTTCTTAGTATTGAGAAAACAAAGACTAGATTTCGTGTTTGATTGGAACATGTTAAACATTCAATCTCCAGAAAAGAAAACTGTAAATCTGACGCGTCATAAAGTAGAATAGTTAATAGAATTGATTTTTTTCTTGTTTAACAATTTTCCTTATTCAAATACTGTATTCTCACGACATAATACAAAATTCTTAGCGACCATAAAATAAATGTGTGTAAAAAGCGCTATGGAGAAAGACTTTGTACCAGTTAAAACCACGCTAGCGACATAATTTACAATGATTTAGATAAGTTAAAGAGAGGGTTTCATTTACTGGCAGTTTGGTCTCCCTCAAGGAGAGTCGATATCCACAATATTTTCAAAATTATATAACGATGTGTATGATTCTAATGAAAACAGAGAGAACGCATCAAATGATGCATTACGCTCGGTTCCCCAGAAGTAATCCCAGCTACATAGCAGCTGCCAATGTGGTCTTCACAGAAGGCTATCTACAAAAGCAATCAAAATCATTCGATTTCAAAATACTCCCTACCCCCACCCTGGAGTAATCCAAAATTTTCGGGTCTGCCAGGATGCCCTGAACTTAAGCACCATTTTGAGGGTCTAATTTGTTTAACTTTGTTGAGCACGGCGACAATAGTAACCAAGGCCCTTGCATTTTTCACAGAGATCTTGAGGATGTTCCTTGGTCTGATCGGATACGTCGAGGCCGTCGGGCTTGTCCAGCGGTCTTTGCTTATGAGGATACACGTTTATGTAACACTTAATGCACTGTTGCCCAGTATTTGCCCAGCTGTTGCCGCTCATCCACTTTCGCTTGCACAGGGGGCATTTGAATTCTCCGAAACATCGTTTCTTCCCTTGGTATGGAGTGAGGCCCTCGCCTTTTGGTCTGGCCTGGAATTTTTGAAAAAAACAGTTATGAAAAATTAAGCCAAGACGTAAAATGAGATAGTTGACGCTTATCTGAAAACTGTAAAAAGTTGTGCTCCATTACACATCACATCTATTCGCAACTTAACATGTTGTGAATTAATTTAAAATCATCTTCTGTACAAACATGTACAATCTGATTTAGTAACAGTTTCCTCGCTGCTTTCGGGGTTACCGAGAACAAAATCAGTGATCAATCACATTAAAGGAAATGAAAAATGATTTTAAACAAAATTCATTTATGCCGATAAGAGCGACAAACCCAGGCAAATATTATGACAGACAATACAGATGGAATTCATCCTATTATTTCCTTTTTGGCTTGTATCTGATTTCCTTCAGAAGCATAAACAATTTTTGAACAAATAAATGTCTGGAAAATTATCCTTCATTTTTCCAAGTGTTACAGGTTATATTGTCTCCAAACGCCTTCTCCTTAATAAATACAGAAAGTTATAAAATCTTAAATCACGAAAGCAAAATAAAACGAGCGTAATATCCACAAACACAATGTCTTTGAAGTTGGAATTTTGAAACGCTTGTTTTATTTTCACTTTTGTTTTGTTAGATGTAATATATTGCAAAACACCAGTCAAATATTGTACGTCTCCAGGTGTAGGAAAAGTCGAGACTTGTGCAACAACGATGAAATTTATCTAAGACTTAAAGACTTGGTATATGTAATTTGTGAATGATAACAACACGAAATAATCAGTTTGTTGGTTCTTTGTTTGAAACGTCAGAAAAGTCAGTGTACGAACAAAACATCCAGAACTGTATTGAAAAACTTGATGTGCTGGTTCTTAAACAAAGTTTAGCCATTGTTTAAAAAAAACGCGTTCTAAACTATCTTGAATTGAGCAGAATTTTTTTATCTGATACAACCCATAAAAATTAATTATATATCGATAATGTTGATTGAAGTTTGAGAACTTCAGAGTAAAACCGACACAGATCTCACTTCAAGTCTGGGTTTCTAACAAACTCGAGCAAGTTTTCTACGAAGATATGATCTTCACCTAAAAAGAACAATGTATTTTAACTAAACTAAACCAAAAAGAGAAATTCTTCCATCCATCCAAAAGGAATAACTCTAATATCAACTTCGCTAGTAGAGACAAAGCAAGGCTCGACCTCCAAAAGCCTTGTGGAGGTGAGAATAAAACAATGACTTCACGAAAACGCAACGGAAATCGTTATTTATCCAAACGCAGTTATCTTAAGGAGAAGCCACACAGATACACATGGTTTTTTCAACTTCAAGCTGAGAAAGCCACAAGAAACCAGATAAAACAAAGTATTTTGATAAGTGCAACGTCATACGTGCAGGAAAAGGAAATATGCATTGTTGCATTTCACAGCAGTCGAATCTATTTTAACAGCCTAACAGAAGTGCTCAAAGCTGCGAAGTCATAGAGACTTGGACGTATCAAACTTCGGAAAGCGTTGAAATTTTCTCAGAAACTGCGTCAGAAATGCTTCATCATTTTGGTAGCCACTGGGTTTGTTTACAAAAATAACTAGGGCTGAACTCGGCGAATAATCTGAACCAGCCACTGACTCTTCTGAGAAACGTACCGCTATGATTTTACAAACTCCATAACACTGCTTTTAGTGTGCTTTGAAAAGGATGCGAAAAAATAATTGAAAACAAACATTCAACGACTCGTTCCAAAGGTTAAATGAAGACATTCAGCCATTTCTAGGAATGGACAGGTCAAGTTGAAAAGGGATCTTTCAGAAAAGGTATGCATTTCATCTTCCATTGACGAAGTTGGAGTTTATAACAACAACTCCAAACTGCCACCCAAGACGTAAAAGAAAAGCCTTTGCTCTCCAAACATTTTAAACTAATAAAACACACTTATGTCAGGCCTAAAAGATTGAAAAATACTTGAGACGAGATCGTTCAAAAGAGAACCATTCAAAATACATGTGATGTCGCCGGCTAAACTCTAACAATGTAGAGTTTGACAGCAACTTGATATGATTTAAAATTTGCCCTGAAATATCTTAATCGGCTAATAGAGAAGAACTTCTGTTGTTTTAGTATGTCAGGCTGAGTTTTGAAATGAGAAACATATTGTTTTTACAATGGATTACACAGAAATAAAGTCTGTTAATGTGAAGTGAGGTTTGGCGACAGTGAAGTTGACACTGGTTGCATTTCAACACACTCGTCATACTTTTTGACCCAAATTTCTTGTAAATCAAAACTTCTCAGAAACTTATGAAAATTGTAAGATAAAGCAACTCGTAAGTAAGCACAATGTTGCAAGATTGGAATGCAAGAAATACAGAGACTTCAAAACATTACATATTTTCCGGCAGAATACACGTTATGATGCGAGTAACTGGCGAAAGGAGATGGTAACTTGAGAAATCTTCCAAGTCTTAGAACGACTATTTATAGTTAACATACTATAAAAGATAGAGAAATATATAAGCTTATTCAACGCTTTGTCTGATCCGGAAACTCAGTGCATTCTGAAAGCAAACGGCCACCAGGGCAAACACAGAACTTAAGACAAAAGTTGATTTGTTGACAAAAAATGTCTGCCCGAATGTTCTAATTTTCGATTATTTACAAAAGCGTACGTAAAAATTAAATTGAAAATTTACCAACCTGGGGACAATCTTTGATATAATGGCCCTTGCAGAAGCAAAGGTGGCATAAATATCCCTCTGGTGGTCGTTTTGGTCTCTTCTTTTGCCTCTGAAGGAGAAGTGTGTTCTGTAAGCTCACAGCAAGACTTGATATCTCATCTTCGTCGTCTAAAGACCAAGCTTGTTGCTCGTCGATATACAAAGGGGAGTCAAGATCGTCCAGATGCTGATAGAAATCCGCGGACAATATGTCTAAGTCATAGTCTTCAACCTTGGCTGATTTGTAGAAATTCTGGAAACGAAAAAACGTGATATTTGCTTAAGGAGATCTACAAGCACAAATATTTCCGGTGAAACGGGACGTGAAAAACCTCTTTATGAAAAGTAGTGGGTTCGCAAATCAAATAATAGCAGAACGCGGGAATTAGGGCGATATGGCAGAACCGCCCAGACAAGAGCAGCCAATTTCCGTGATTTAAAATGGTTTCTCACGCAAGATAAAAAATAAAGTGTTTGACATTAAAAACAGGCATAGCCTTAAAATTGGCCCCCAGCGTAATTTCATCCATCAACTTTTTTTTATCGATGCGTTTAGGAGCTATTCTTAGACTGATTTGTTCAGGCTGCAACAAGTGTTGGCGACTGCGACGGGACGGTTTGCCTGAAGGAACTGGCAACAGCTAAGTGATTTTGTCGGCATTTCACATGCCTTTAAAAGAACAAGACCGCTGTGTCTGTCTGCGGGTAAGATAAACCACGTGACGTTCAATGACAGTTGTACGCAGAATTGTACAAAGCTAAAGGGCACGGTATTCAAAAAATTTTACTTAAAAGTAAACCGAGCCGAAGGCGTCTAGAGAATTAATTCTAAGTACTCTTGATTGTAATGAAACTTTGAACCGAAATTATTTTGTGAAAAGTAATTTGGAGTGTACGTTAGTGTCATTACGTGTATGAAAACAGTGAAATGACAATCTTAACACTGAGAATCTGACAAGATCTTTATTATGATTTCCATCTGATGTGTATGGGTATTCATAGAAAAATAGGCAGAAGGCATGGAGGTCGAAGGGGGTCAAAATCATTTCACGAAACGCACTCAGACAGTGAGATCTGAAATCAATCACTTACAAACTACGAGGCTCGTTGTTCGATTGTTAATTGTAATAAAACGAAAAAACCGCAACCTCGGAAAAGGAATGCGCGTAGGAATCAACGAGCTATTTTACAAAGCGTAGTTTAGTTCATTAGCTGAAGTTCAAGAGCATCTGGCGAATGAAGACTTTTATGCCGACAGACCGTGGTGTAATGAAATGATGAGTCATATCGCATAAAATCTACAGGGTGTTTTAAAGATCAAAGCGAGCATACACCCCATGTTCACGTCTGAATTAAGCTTTGTTTATACGCCAACGCAATCTAACCATAGCTTAACTAGAGAGGATTGTTTAAAAGTTAAGTTCAGCAATGGTTGTCGAACAGAAGGTACTTACGAATCAAACGGTAAATGGTAAGCTTACCTTTTCATTTTCGACGTTCGTGAGAAAGTAGTTTTGAAAGCTACTGGTTGGATGTGAAAAGAAAGAGGACGAGAGAAGAGTCGACATTCTCGGCGAATTCTTCTTCGGGACAGAAAGATCATTTACGCAATTGCAATAGCGGTTCGTGCAGTTAGACTGTGAAATAATTTGCCTGACTTTTATACCCGATCGATTGGGTTCCCCTGAGGCGGCACTTCCGGTAACCTCAGCCAATGAATTGGAGTGTTGTCTGTTTGAGATGTCATCAACGCGCGCGCTAACTTACAGCAACAGACACCAAACAGGGCGCTGTGAGCCCTCAGCTGGAATTTCATAGCACAAGCGCAACAAACAAAAAGAACCACACAACCACAAATAAAACACTTCGCTGTAAAAGCCCAACGGAAATCCCACAAAAGTTGTTTTCAAAAGACCCTCCGGAGGCCCAAAGTTTTCAGCGCGAACATTCCATGAGGGGAGTCCATTTCAATTTTTGTTGATCTCGTTTGAAAGTCGTTAATTGAATTAAAATCTGATAAATTTAACAGATCGTATATTCAATTGGGGTATGTCACGTTTCATTTGACTCATGCTTTTGATGAATTGTTCGCCATTTATTTTCTACGTCTAGTCATAGGCAATTATTTGTGTTGCAAGTTTGACATGCGATATTGGTATTCTTGCAAGTAAACTCAGGACAAAACAATTTTATTCTCATAGCAGTGGGGGATAAACTCAATCGGCTCTTGCAAGATTCTCACTTTATCGCAGAATTAACAGAGGCAATTTAACTGGAAGAGGAAGAAACAAAAAGTACTTGTTTTAATAATTTCCTTCCTAAGCATTACGGAAGAAGCTTTGTTTACTTTGCAAGAACTCTTGCTGTTTTAAGAAAACATAATTTGCATGCAAAATTTCAATGGCCGGTACACTTTTTTTTATGATTAGTCTGGCTAGGCTCCTCAAATTGCACATATTTAGACAGACAGTTCAAAACAAAAATCTCCCTAGCACAGCCCTCCAAATCGACGTAACCACAGTAGTTTGAAATTGCAATCGCTTGCCTTTAAAAAGCGCGCGATTTGCGCTAACGTTACATACTGACAACCTGAATTCGCTCGTTTTGAAACTTTTAGATTATGAATGATCTCGGAGAAAGCGGGACAATTCGGCTATCGAAAAAACACTGCTTATAACACAGCTTTCGCGGAAATGGGCTTCGCATGGGTCCAGTATCCTTCGAAAATACATCTCTGTTATCAGTCAAAACTGCGGCTTTTCTTGGCTAAACAAATCTTTTCCGCTATTGAATACGGCCAGAAACACAAGATTGCTTAGCATGCACTGTAATAGGGGTAAAACATTTCTTCAATCTTCAAATCCTCGTCAGTTTTATACACGATACAAAAGGAAAAGAAACTTTCAGGTTTTATTCTGTTTTTATAGATTCCCCTTTTTTCATAGTCAATGCTATTGGCGACCCCGTTTTGGTTCTACGCAAACCGCAGAACCATATGAATTTTCAGTCATTCATTTTCCAATTAAAAACCTGTCTGCCTGGTTTTAGTTTCGATTTGAATCTTATGCCACTCTTGCCGACGCCAGCGAAGATCCCCGCGGGGTGGTAGCGAAAGTCTGTTTTGTCACGTGCGTTATTTTTAGAGCGTAAGTTTGAGGTGTATTCAGTTTAAAATGGCTTGACCCAGTGCCAAGGAACACCCAACCAGAATGAATTACACGATACAATCCCGGAAATTCCCGGAAATTTTTAAACCATGTGATTCTTGTAGTACTTAGAAACATTCATCGGCTTTTTGAGTAAAGCACACAAGATTATCTGGCCTAAGACAAATGTTTTCCGCTATTGAGAGGTTATTCAAACATTAAAAGGAGTTAGCTTTGATTGGCAGAGAATGCCGTTTGGATATACTGAAGAAAAACAAAAAATAAAGATTATCATCTGGAAAATAATAACATGAACATAGGGTCTTTGATGGAATCAATAGCAGCGTTTACAATTGATGATGCCTTGTTGCCGTCGAGCTAAGAGTTTCGTCCCCTTGCCACTTTCAACGAAACGAGAATACCTGGAAACAGTTTCATGGCTACAACCATGAAGTCTTAAAATTCCGAGACCCTCAAAGTCACTTATTTCGCCTGAGTTTTTCGCAGAAAAATTGATTTTTTTTTTTTTTTTTTAGGACCCTCAGGGATATTTACTGGCCCTTTGCTACCAATACTTCCGGAACAAAAACTTGGAACCAAGGCCAAGAGCAAAAACATTTTTCATTTTTTTCCTTTTGGGTTTAACAGATGTTAAATTAGTTCCTTCGTTCGCCACCAAAGTAAATAACCTCGCAAGGTAGGTTTTGAATAGAAAGGAATTTGTTTGCTCTCAGAGAATTCATATTAAAAGCCAAAATACCCAAGAATAATGCCGATTTGCAAGAGAAATAAAAAATTGCATTAATGAGGATTTTTAGCATTCGTATCCCAGGAGGTAGATCTCAGGAACGGTGAACTTACAAACCAGTGATCATTTCGAAAATTCTGCCGAAGCACCAGTGGGAGAACTTATGCTTGGTTTTAATCCTAAAGCCCAGAACTCTTTGATGACCCTAAAAACCTTGACTTTTATAATGCCATTTGCGACATATTTCGAAAAAAAGACTCAAATTTGGCTCAGAAATGATTTTCCAAAGGTCAAGATGTACTTAACCTTGACCTTGAGATTTTTTTTTTTTTAATTTTACAGAAAAACATCTGAGGTAGCTCATACAATTTGTGGTTACTAAAACATATAGCCGCGGAAATCTATCCCGTACAAAGAATAATAGCTGACAAGAAGACACAACTGAGTTGCAACACTGATTTTTTAATTCCTTATTTTTTCCTATGATTTTTGACCGCGCACTGTTCAAACAATTTATTGACTAGTTTATGGCAGCCATGCAAAATATTGTTTATCCTGCTTAAGCATTGGCAAGTCTGTTTCTTATTTAAGTCTCCCCCTTCCAAGCGGTGGTTTTCGTTTGCAAAAGATGAAAGTTGATGTTCATTTAAACTTGCTGATATGGATACGGATGGTCGGACGCGTGTTTAGCCTTGAACTGAGCCTGCAAATAATTTGCCGCCTAATCAAATTAGGAATAATTAAAAACTTTCCATCTTATATATTAACCACTGCTTTCGCGCCATGCATATACCTGTTTTTTTTTTGTTTGTTTGTTTGTTTGTTTTTTTTATCCGCCACATGCATTAATCAAAGCACTATCAACGATTCATATTGTCGTTGTTATTACATTTTGACGCTAAAGTAATATGTGTACGCTCCTTCTGTCACTGTGATGTGGTCACGATCTGAAAAGTGGTTAGGGGTCGGGATAGGACGGATTTCCTGCGATGTTCAACATCTTACCCAGCAGCTGAAATCGTTTAATGATCTATGTTTGCGTTAAACTGATAGGCTTTAATACACAATTTCATTATAGAGATGGGAAAGGGACTGTACAATATGCTCCAGATGGCTATTTTAGGAAGAAGGTTTATTCCAAGGGGACTCCAAAACCCTTTGGTTAAACCAGACCATATCTAGAGACCCCCAGCCTCGCCCACAATTGTGATCTATCAAAAATCTATTGCCATCATAGATAGCCTCAGAAAGTTGTCTCAAAAAAATTAGTTTTAAAGGTTAAACAGAAGGAATGGTTGTCAGAAACCTTATATAAATAACCTTTGCCAGTTCTATGAATTAACAAACTTATATATCTTTCGAGACTAAAGTGATTATAAACCATACCTGAAACCACGAATCATTTTTCTTTCCTGAAATAATCCGTCGTCAGATCGCATTGACGCGAGTCAGTGGAAATTAATGGAAAAAATATATATCCCAAGCGTCGCGTGAACTCTGATGAGCGAAGCGCACGTAAGGCCAACTTTTTACGTGGTTAATTCAATCAAATCGCACGATAGATTACATTAGGAAAGAGAAATTGCTTTAGTCAAACAAAAGCTTTTCTACAAATAAAAAAAAAAAGTCAAAATGCGAGCTGCCATTCAAGCGCAGAGAGCGATCGTGTGTAGATATTCCGCAGAGTTTTCAAAACGCCAAAGGCAAAGAAGCGGTGTTTTATGTCTACTTGAGTGTGAGCCAAATCTGTCAAATCTGATCAGTCGCGTAAACAGTGACTCGGCAAATCTATTTTTAACCAATGCCATCCCTATGAGATTTTTCGTTTCTCAGGAGAAATTAAAGAGGAAAAAAAGAATTATTTGGGAGAGAGTGAGTGAAAACAAAAGTCTGGATATGTGCACTCCTTAGCTTTTTGTCTTCCTAACCAAAGGCATCTGTCAAATCTCGATTTCTCGAACCCTCGGTTTCTCGAACCTCCCGATTTCTCGAACCAGACCTTGTTTCCCTTGGATTTGCTTCACTTGTAATTTCACCCCCGATTTCTCGAACCAATTTGCGTTTCCCCTGGAGGTTCGAGAAATGGGGATTCCACTGTAAACAATTCTTATTCAAAAGAAAGTCTTTATTATCAGCCTTTAAAATTATTAAGAAGGTGAACTTGGTCAAGAGTTAAATTCTCTTTTTCAACTTTTGCCAAAAGATGGGTCGGTACGGGATTACACGAAACATTTTATGGAATCTGCCCAAAGCGTACTGCGTTCTACCACATAATTCGGGTATTTCTCTATCCCTCTGCAACATGTTAATTTAAAGACAAGTTTAAATGAAGTAATCAAGTAACTAACGTGGACGCATTTAAGTTACCTACATTTCTGTTTACTCGCGGAAAGGAGCATCTCACAGTACATTGTTCTCATTTTTGAACAACAAAACTCACAAAACAAGTTTTGCTTTAATTTTACAAATTATCTCCCTAACTTTGGCCCATGGAGAAAAACACAACAACAACAACAACTTCGTTCAGGGTATGATGTGCGTCAGAGACTTTCTGTATTGCACGAAATACTGAACGGCGTTCCTACCTCAGTGGGTACAGTGGCTCCTGTCCGGGGAATGGAAGGGAACAGTGTCGACATCTTCCTGAAAGCAGTCCAAGGTTATCGAATTTATTACGTGTCGTTATCTGTGAACCATTAATACGCAATGACAAACATTCAGGACAGATCAAGATGCCCTCATTAAGCCCAGAAAGATCTCCGTTTCCGATCATTGCCATCTCCGGTTCCTCTAAATAACTGGATTTAACCACGAATTATAAACAAACTAATTGTCCACTTACCTATCATGGACCATATTTCTTCCAAATCGCTTGTCAGAGAACTCACTCAGGCCCATATCTACACACCAGAACAGGGCAGTGTTCATTGCTCGCGAAATGACAGTATTACTGGGTTTGTGTCTTTGTGAACATCACACGTACGAACTAACAATCTGTTATTTTTAGGAAGTACTTAAAGCAATTAAAAATGCTAACAGTCAGATCATGATACAGCAAACATTATTTTTCAATGTATCTCCTCGCATGACGCAAGTAAAATCAGGGCGATATCCGTTTGTACCTCCCAAGAGATATCTGCCCCGCGTTCAAACTTCTTGCGCAGTTCCGACCACCTGGACATTTTAACGGTTAGTTATTTGACGGAAATCTTGACAGCTTCTTCAACTCCACCTTGGCCGAGAACAAATAATTTTGCAGCTCCAAGAGGGTCGCAGTTTTAAACGTCATTTTTGTCCATGGAAAGGATGAAATGTGCAAGGATTTTCATAGACTTATTGAAGCAGGCAAAACATTTTCCCTACTCAGCTCGCGAGTGTACTCCATTTCTTAAAAGTTCACTACTCTGGTTTGCGAAAAGTGAATTTTGGGATGGAGCGAGAAGAGTGCTTGAGTTTTCTACTCCCCACCACAATCTTGTCATTTCTTATGCTGTAGTAAGAAAAGATAGCCAAAGAATGGCATTTAGTACTCAATGTGATAAAATAGTTGTAACGAAAAAGGGAATTTGATGTCTATGCTTCTGAAACACGGTACAAAAGATAAAATTAATTAACGTATTTGTGCACGATCCTCGCAGTAAAGAACACTATTTAAGCAATAATGAAAATCAGACGTGAAAAAATTCAGGCCTGTACTGGATTCGAACCACTGACCGTTGTGTTTAAAATTAATTGAATAACACGATTTAAATGTCTTTGACTGTCTTTCGCCTTTCCTCGTTTTCTAGATTAGTCTGACGTATTTACACAAGATTACATTGGCTCAGTTTTTACCAGAAGCGGTCTAAATCTCCATGATCTTTCCCCTTTCACCAGATTTTTCAAGAGTACATGTGCGATATGCCGGCTTGGCATGGCTTAATCGTTTAGTTCACCGACCTGGTGACCGAGTAATCCGGATTCAATCTCGGGTTGGGGTCACTGTGTCGAGTTTTCAGCGGTAAAACAAAGTCGACACTTCAAGTGTACCCTGTGCCCCATCTTAGGCCTCTCCCTTCACAGCAATGCTGTTTATCTATTTGACAAATATATCCAATTTTGCGGTATCTGTTCTATATTTAAGCAAACCACGACGGCGACGGCAACGAGAACGTAGAAAAACAATAGATCTAATAGGCAGAACAATAGCCCAGCACGTGCGTTTTAAAACTGTGTACATTTCTTATCCGTCCTTTGCAAAACAACAACGTGAAATCACCAAAATTTGCGTCGTCTGAGAACCGAAACCGCGGCGGCAAATTATTTTAATTTACATCTGGAACTCAACGCTACTTTTACGCGTTATGTTGAGTTTGAGGTCTGGCGCCCTATGAGACGGAAAACACATGCAGCCATTTTCGAAATTCTAGCTAAAAGTAGAAACTCATTTTTTAATCAACGTTTTCCGTGGTGTTGCCGTCGTGACTGCTTAAGTTCCCTATTAATCGTGGACACTTCGATCTCTGTGAATGAATTTTTGATCTACCAAAGTACAGACACCCGGTCAAAATCACTGACCCTCCCTACTCTTATTTCAACTTTTACATTCTCTACACTGATCTCCTCACATTTCCTGATAATGACAAGAAAAAATATTTTTGACAGTCTGGGGATTCTTAAATTGGTGATCATATCCTTTATTCTCGTGCCTTAGATCATTTGATCCTAGGGTGAAAGCATAAGCTAGAAGCTCTTAGGGGCTGATGGGGTACAGAGAAGTTGTTTTCTTTGTTCTATCTGTATTACACACAGCCTTGAAATTGTTTGCGACTCTCTTCTGCATTCAGTGAAGGTATTGAAAAAAAGGTAGACAGGAACTGTTAAATGGTCGCAAAGTTAAGGTGGCTCTAAGCCCACATGAAAAAGAAGTCAAGCTTCTATTGATTTACAAATAAAAAAATACTTAAATTGCACATGGAAATGTGATGGTCACCGTAATGCGTAACAGAAAAAGCTCCTAAAACAATTATTTGGTCTTTCCGTTCAAAATATCTATTTCATTTCACAGTGTATCAATTTACAGTGTTTTTTACAGAATCAAGAAATTAAGATTTTAAGGTGTAGTACTCCGAAAACAGCAGTCACACACACGCTCCTGTCTCGTGCACCACTCATTTGTCCCTACAAAAACGCAATTCATCATATTTTTGTGCCGAAGCATTACCTACATGTTACCCAACATGAATGACGATGAACAACAACTACTCTTGAGCGTTCACCTACAACGAGAAGAGGGAAGAGCTCTCAATGGGAGGCATTTAAGCAAGGGATGCATCATATAGAGCAGGGGCTCACCCAAGTGCTCGCAGTACCTATTAAACAGGACACATCCAGTTTCTTTGACTTTTATTATTCCTGTGTTTACAAAATGAATTCTTAAACAGTAATAAACTTTCGAGTAGTTCATTTGAACAAATCTTACAGAGCAACACCTGGTGTACCAAAGAGCCTGTTCTCTCTCTTTTCACATGTACATAAAAAACTAGATTCCAATTTCAAAACTTGCCCGTGTACAAATTCTCCCGTGTTGACGATCAAATTTCTTTCAAGCAAGTCTATGAACGCACACAGGTCAACGAAATCTCACTGATTTGTTTTCGTTCTCTGATAGTCATCCTTTACACACTTTCATTAAATCCAAAATAAAGCAATTTAATTATTCTTAAAGGGCAGCGTATCTCTGTACACTCCACACAAAAAGATTTCAGATTTTTTTGGTCCATTCAAACTTTTTAATTTCTTTTAAAAAAAAAAATGTAACAAGTTTAAATGTATAATGTGACACTAAAGAAAAAAAATATATAAAAACGTTAGCTATTTACTTAAAGGGTGAAAAAAAATTAATAATTTATGTGCCTAAGTTGAGTGGAAAGTGAAATTCTTAAAAAAGCTTCTCTACAATTTTTTTTTTCTCTAACAAGACTAACATACAGAATGGCTCAATTTCTAACCCCTTTTATGGAAGGCATCAAAAGGTTACAAAAACAGCAACTTAATTGGGTTTTCGAATAAAATCTTGTCATTCCTGGAATAAGAAAAGTGGGTCCCAACACAAGTAGTGTCTGAGTAAAACACGTAAAAAATTCCCAAAAACTACCTCTTAGTCTAACACCAGCTACTGTGTTAGTTGATCTACAAAGTAGTGCTCATAGACAAGTAAAATAAATTATATATTACATTTACATGCTTTTTACTTGAAATATGCCTTGAACTGACAGAGATTTATCTACAAATATAGATATTCCAATTATGCCAACAACAACCATTGGCCATTACTGATTTTGCTGTGGTTTGTATGACAAAATGCTGCGAATCACTGACTGCTGTGACTTGATGGACTGGTGACTAGGAGGCCTAATGGCAGCAGGTTCCAGGCACTCAGCTGGTGGAACATACACACTCTGCTGAGACTGGGCCCTGACAGAGTGTCGTGATGCTGAGGCTCTCTGATGTGAGAACACTCGAGGTGAAGAGCGGGACTGGAGCCGACTTCGAATCTCTGAAAAAAGAAAGCCATTTCTTGTGAGTAAATATTGAGTGTCAAAAATGGTATTCAAAATTGATGATGGAAATAATGTCAACTTTTAGAACACAATAGTAATTGGTCATTTAGAGCATTTTCACCCAGATGATCAGTCACTTTAAATGCTCAGTATTTGCTTAGTAACAAACAATTAAATTTCATCTCCCAAGGGATTTTTGCACTATCACTGTTCACAGCTAATACAGCTGACTTGATGTCGCAACAAAATGATCTATTTAATTTCCTGGGATGATAATTGGCTTCTATTACATTGGTAAAATGAGAGAAGGTGTGACGCTTTTCTGAAAATTCAAATGTTTCAATTTTCTATGGGTTTACTTCTGCAATAAACAATGGGTTTCTGACCGAACAATTAAGGTGCTTGTAATATCTCAGTTATTTCACAACCTCTCAAACACCACTTTTACCACATGTTGCCAGGACAACATCATTGAAAAAGGAAAACTGCACCCTTTCAATGGTGATACCCTGGGAAGGAGAAAACTGACACTTCTCGCTAATGACTACCCTACTGGTGAACTTTTCTGTACCTTCAATTTCTGCTTCTGCTGTGCCAGGCCTTGGTTTGCTCTGTTCCATCAATGCTTCTTTCTTCCTCTCTGATGCAACAAATGGTGAGCTGGGTTTACATCCAGGACTCGTCCACTGATATTGAGTATAGCCCTGGGAACCTGCTGAACGGGGTGTCCTGGGAATATTAACACAAATGAGCACCATAGTTGATCTGATGGCAGAGGGAGATGTCAATTGAATAACTCAAGAACAGAACTGAAGGAGCATTGAGTGGTAATGGTAAATGAAGATGATTAAGCATATTGTTCAGCTGCAAAGAATGAAATTGAGCCTGAGAAGCATAATACTTGATGGCTCAAAAGCAGCTATCAGCAGTTCTCAGTAGGAAAACAGAAGGGTATAAATTGCAGGCTTCTTAATCTTTTTAAATCAGAATTAACAGGACTTCTTCACAAGGCAATATAATAAGAGTATAACCTTGGACACTGTCACTACAATGAGTGGCAAAAGCAGTTGGCAGGTCTTAAAAATTCCCTTTAAGTTAGTAGATGGTCAACAACCCTCGGCAAGAAAAAAGTGACCACATTTTCAAAACCAGGAAATATTGAAAAGGGGGAAGTAAATGAATTAAGCTATAGAAGAAAATTTAGAAGCAATAGCTAGAGCATACCATGACTTAATTTTGCCACTCATTATTTGTATATGTATGACTGCATGAATCACTTTTAATGCTTCCAAGAAAAACAAAAAAGTGATGAAAGAAGGGTGAAGTAAGTTCCTCTTTCTTTAGTTCAAAGAGTAGACCTGTTGTTGTTCATGCAGATAAGCATACTTCCAATTAAATAAATACTTTTTTTTTCATAATAAAGAGAATATCAACAGTATCATAAAAGACATGAGCACTGGAAAACTTTCACCAAGAATCAGCATGCATCAGAAATTAAAGAAGATAAACCAAGAAGAGGAATAGAGAAACCTCTTGTTGCCAGGGAAAAGCCCTGTAGAGTCAAAGAGAAGCATGGAGTGGTGGAGTGAGACATAGATGGAACCCAAAATCTGTGAGAGAATGAAAAAACAGAAATGAAAGGTTTATGAAACAAGCATTGAGACTAAATGACTGAAGGAAGTAAGGAGAAGGAAAACAGTTTGATCAAAGGGCTGCAGTCAGGGAGGAGAGTAAACTCGTACTGCCAAAAAATGGTAACATCCTAGACTTTCAAAGAGGCTCAGACATCCTTTTTTTTTTTTCAGAGTCAGACAGAAAATAGAGGGTTAAGGCTAAAATTAATTATATGCACATTTGAAGCTACAAAAAACAGACTGAAGGGTAGATCTCATCGCTAAGAAACAAAGGATCACATTAAGCATGCCTTTGGGAGTTCCAACCATACATATGATCTATTGATATTCCCTCACCCTACCCCCTCACCCTCCCCCCTCACCCTTCCCCCCTCCCCTTACCACTACTAAATGGTATAAATGGTGCTGCTGGTGTAAGATCTTGCTGTAGAAAAAATCCTGTTGACTAACTGACAAACAATTTAAACTATAGATATACAATATTATTCACACCATACCATACTGCATGGGTCCTTTGGGGTAGAAAGGAATGCAACTTAAGTGAAAAATCCAAGACAACTATGATTCTTTACCTTGGTTTTTCTGCTTCTTCTTTTTCTTGTTTCTTCCTCTCCAGCACTTCTCTCTCCTTTCTCTTCATTTCATTATATTTCTGTATCTCATCTAAATCAAGGCTAGACTCATGTTGTAATAGCTGGTCATCATACATGACAGACTTCATTGTATCATTGAATCCTTCTCTGTACTCATTATCAGATGTGCACACTGCACGAATCATGTCAAGAACAATTTCTTTTTCTGTGTGATCACAAAAAAGGGAAACTTTAATCATAAGTTTAGTACATGCATTAAAATGAGTAATACTACATATCCAACCAACAGGGTAAATCTGCAGTTAGTGTTTAAATTGTAACAGCATAATTAAATCATACATTGCACAACTTGGTATTGGTAGCGATTATACTGTCTACCGGAAAGACCGTGCCGGCAATGGAGCTAGACATGGCGGTGGTGTTTTGATCGCGACAAAGAAAGACATAATCACCTCAATACGAGAACATCAAGATCTACCTTCTGAGTTACTATTTGTTGATATAATCATGGACGGAGGAAAGAAATTAACGATTGGAACATTTTACAGGCCGCCAAATAGTGACTTGAAGCCTCTGGAAGACCTTCGGTCATACCTTTCTTCGATTACAACCACAGATCTTCTCATTACTGGAGATTTTAACCTAAGCAAGTTTGATTGGTCTACGAACCATCCTACTAAATCATCTGAGCATCACTACCTCCTGTCTGAAATAGTTCAAGACCATTTCTTGTATCAAATGGTTGACGAGCCTACTCGTGGGAACAACATATTAGACCTAGTACTCACGACTCACATCGACCTGATAAATAACTTGGAAGTCGGTGAACCATTCTCCGATCATAATTCAATAACATTCATCGTAAACACTCGCCCCTACCAACAACGGATCTCAACTAAAGAAAATTATGCACTCAACAAGGCAGACTGGAATCATCTAAGATCTTTGTTCAGTTATTCACCCTGGTACTTTACAATAGAACAACAGGACATAAATGCTAACTGGGAAGCATGGAAAGACCTTTATTTTGCAGCAGGAAANATGTATCTAATTACAAAGATCTTGGAGTTATTATGACTAGTGATCTGAAATGGTCAAAACATGTTGAACAAATAGTTCACAAAGCAAATAAGGTTCTTGGCTTACTTAAACGCACAGTAGGCGGTAAAAACAAAGATATTTTTTCAAACTTGTACAAAACCTTGGTTCGTCCAATCTTGGAATACGCCTGCCCGGTGTGGTCACCACACCTCATCAAAGACATCGATGAAATTGAGAAGATACAAAGAAGAGCCTCGCGAATTGCCTTAGGCCAAAGAAGACAAGAGATGGCGTATACGGAGAGGTGTAAAATTCTTAAATGGAACTCTTTAGTACAAAGGAGAGATTTCCTTTCCTTAGTGGAATGTTATAAAACTGTATTCAATCTAAATGGATTGAATTTCAGCGACTATTTTGAACTTTGTAAAAACACTAAATCGAGATCTAACCACCCATATAAACTACAACTCAAACTCGCAAAACTGAACTGTTACAAAAATTCTTTCTTTGTCAGAATTATCAAACCCTGGAATAATCTTCCTATTAATTTATTTAATTTTTGTGACAGCCCTAACGTTCGTGAGTTTAAATCAAAATTAAAGAAACATATGAATATTTATTGAATTGTCATTTTATAATTGATATTTAGCTGTTTCTTATTTGACTTTTTTATATTTTTATTAACTAGTTCTGTACGATTTTTTACATAAATAGGAGACCCTTGATATAGGGCCAACCTCTGGGTTTCCTTTTTCTTAATAATTATGTCTTTGCATGTTGTTCTGAAATAAAGTATTGTTACAATAAATCAAGTACTTCCAAGAAGAGTAAAACCTGACAGCACTACTTAATGCTACTTGGACAAAATCCTATCTTTCAAAACCCTTATCCAGAAAAGGGGCTTTACAGCAAGATAATTGACTGCATTTATAACTCAACTTGTGGGAGAGTTATGCTGATGTTTCTTTAAGGCATCCGGGCTATAACCATGACAATTTGAGCTTTGGTCAATTCAGCCATTTAACTAACAGTGGTACACAAAAATTAAAACATTAAATATTTTTAATCTATCTAATTAAACAGAGTGTTAGATGCAGAACACACCACTTTAGGTTGAATTACCAAACTTAAATACAATTCAAAACAACCAAAAGCTAATTAATGAGTTTAATTATTTACCACCTTCAATTTTCCCTTACAGTGAGAAAAAAATGCACAATTCAAGGAGTCTGACGTGAGACACCTAACTGATGAAATTCATTTTGACTTTGCCTACAAGGACTACTATTGGTTCTCATGCTTCAAATAAAACTATAAAATTTAAGTTTACTCTTCTAACTATCATAACAAAGTGATCATAAGTTTGAACCAAGGACTCTATGACAAACTAAAATCGTGGGAATAAAATGATGTTCTCATTTCTTGACCCTTTAACAGCCTCATCATGCTAATTAGTATGCCACCCCAACTTTTAAATTCATAAACTAAGATCATACCTCTGTCTGGGGCATGAACTAACCAAGATTTTATGTCATCAGGATGTGTTGGTTGAAGAATATTAACCAACATGTTGTACATCTAGAAAAAATGAACATACAACATAAATATTTTTTTACCTATCATACTATACTGTATTAATTTGATCAGTTTAGGATCTAAGCGGGGGGATATGGGGAGTTCAGACCTCTCCTTTCTCTCAGATCTGTGAATTTTGTTTAGTTCTTGTCAGACATCAAAATTCCCCAACAATAGGATAATATTACATGATTACTCCACAGGAAGCATTTAAAATTAAATTACCTAACAATAATTCATTCCTTACTTGGGCTATAGTACAAATTAAAGTAAATCTTTGCTTTTTTTAAATTCAAGTTAAGGACCCCCCCCTCCTCCCCTACCAAGCAGCTAAGTAAGAATATGGACACCAGTTTAGGAGGTAATGGAAATGCATGAGCTTCAAAGACACCCCCATGAAAGTGGTCCAAACTCCTGTTGCAAACTTTGAATTTAACCCCAGAGAGCTGTAAGTTGCAGATTGATCTTGGTGTGGCTCAGACTTTTGTTGATTGCTTTGAAGTAGAACTCTTTGACACCAGTGAAGACAGTGCTACATTTACATCTTATCAATGGTCATGTCTCTTTTGAACTCTACATATTACTTCCTTGAATATACGTGAAAGTAAATGGAAGGTCTTTTTAAATCATTCTCTTACATCCCTAAATGATAACTTAATAGCTAAAGAAATATATAAGAATAGAGGAGTTTTGCACATCCTGAACATCGTTAATGCGATGGAATAATTTGATTGGCTCACCCAATCATTCTGTGGGATAAAAACCCTATGTTTAACCACAATCATTTCTGTCATTTTGCATAGGAGGGGGTATTTCCACCTCCCAACCAACATTGGGAACAAAAGAATTGATTTGCTACTTCCACTATTTACTTGTCTGTAATTGGAAAAATAGCAATTTTTCATCCACCCTATCACCCATTTGGATGATTTGAGTGTCCCATGTAAAATTAATAATAATAAAGTATACCCATAAAGGATTTTGGTGTAATTGCTCAGATTTTGTAAAGATGCATCACTTTGATTGGTCAGGGATTCATTGACATTCACTTTGTCTTTGGTGAATATTTTAAAAATAATTACTTACAGTGAGATCACTATCGGTATCTGCTGCAATGTGCTGCAGGGGAAGTTCCTGTTGCAGTATAGATGGCCTGCCTCCTTGCCTGGACTCTCCCAACCTTGATGGTGGCTTCTCACCATTCCGTGATGGAGGAATTTCCCCATTTCTAGATGGTGGTTTTTCTCCATTCCTTGATGGGGGAGGAAACATACCACCTCTTGATGGTGGAGGTCTCTCCCCTTGTCTTGATCCCTGCCGTGATGGAGGCACCTGATAACTTGCAATGTTGGTATAGCGACTTTTGGTTTTAAGGCCAGAAGCTTCAGTGAGTTTCCTCAACTCTTCTCGCCAGGTTTCTGTTATTGGAACTACAGAGTAACAAAAAGTATAATTGTCAGTGAGGTTTTGTGATCTTTACATTGAAGTTTACAGTGGGTCATTATATTTTAATCTGAGCTGTCATGTAGCTTAAAAACTATTAAATCTACGCATTGTTTTCTTTAGCTGAAACTCTTCAATATTCAAAATCGAAAATAACCGAGGCTTTCAAATAAAATAGTTTGATGAAAACATAAACATCACCGTAATAATAATAACAACCAGATATTAGAGGATAACCATTTGGATAGCCTTACCATTTAGGCCTACTTTTCATTAACAGTTTATCTTTTTAAGTGAAAGCTAGGGCATGGAGATGAAACAAATAAGAAATCAAAAACTCTTGATGGGGTAAACCTGGAGGGGGGGAGGGGGTAAGTGGTTAATCGAATWWYWGRAAMCTTTAAGTCTARMCAAGGYTCTSCTYTGAAWCCTGACTTTCTAGACAGGGGGGGCTACTGAAAATATACTAAATGTTTGCTAGAAAAGGGGCTTACCAGAAACTTGAAACTCTAAAGAGAAGTGTTAAAAAGGCAGGTGTCTTAAACTCTGGAAACTCCATACAAGGATTGTTAGAGAATAGAAAAAGTCTGACTATGAGCCCCTAGTAGTAAAAGGTCAGCAATTAGAGACAGTGACATTAGTCTCAAAGTTTTAGGCCTACAGATTAGTTGTGATCTTAAGTGGAATATTCACATACAAGAGTTAGTGAAGAAGGCCTCTACTAAAGAGAGGACTTAACGGAAACCTAATAATCTACACAAGTGTAATTTGTTGAAGAGAGGGCATCAGAACCTTGACACTTTATACCAGGGTTGTCAAAGAGGAGGCATAAAATTATTTTAGAAACTTGAAACTTTGACAGGGGTTTTTCAGAAACTTGAAACTCTTCAGAGGGATTGATAGAGTAGGCAGATTTCAGAAACTTGAAATTCCCAATGGGGGCTATCAAAGAGGGAGCTTTTTGGAGATTGGGGTTGTCATAGAGGCCAGCACTGTCTTTTCGGAAACTTACTACTAGAGGTTGTTACAGGGAGGGATTCTTAATAGGAAATTGAAGCTCTAGTCAGGGATGTAATTGGACTTTTTCCAACATGTCATAATTAGATATTAAACATCTGCTATTTAAGTAATGGATGTTCCTGTAAGCTTTGCCATTTATTGAGGTCCTTGTGACAAAAAGTGAGGATCTGAATATTGATGCGGTGAAAAATTCTGCTATTTTAACTATTTGCAGTGCTGATCAATGAAAAGTCAATGACTATGTATGTAAGAGTATAGAATAAAGAAAATTACGTTTAGGGCTTAGCGGGGAATCTTTGTGATTTTCATAAAGGTTTTACTAATCCTGCAATTTTTTAAAAAAATGCTAGAAAACGTACTCAAGGGTCAAAACGAAAAGACAGGATTTTTCTAGTTAATAAAAAAGATATTTCTATTCTCCTAATTTACACTACAATAATTTCAAACAAGGAAACGAAATTATTAATAGTAGTGAACATAAGTCCACAATGTGGCAACTAGTTTGTTTATAATTATATTTCTAGAGTTTTCAAACTCGTATGTTGAGGATAGAAATGCAAATAATAAGAAAGAAAAAAGTAGCAGTAAAGATTAAAACTGTTTGTTCTACATGCTTGTGCTAGACAGAGTATTTTAATTAAAACTTCCACAGTTGTTAGTAAATTAAAAGAATATCTATTGGTATCAAGCTTATCGATTGACATGCAATTTTCAGTGATGACACGAATTTGCGAAGCAAAGAAAAGCTCAAACAAAGCAATAAAAACACGTTATTCTGTTTGCCTTTCGTGAATTAGCGGATGTATCTTCAACACGATAGCATTTTAGTTATTTCTCTATTTGAGCGCATTCGTGCTCAGAACGACAAAGAAATTACAGCTGAGGAGTTATCAATTACGAACTGGTCCAAAGTGCCTCAAAACGATTTATCGTTGCTAAGTGCAATTACAACATCGTTACCATAGGCTAAAATCAGAAAAGGTAGAATAAAAGGCAGAAAAAATCTTACCTAAACCAACGGATGGAACAGCTTTTTCTTTCACGTTGTCTAGATTGATTGGTAAGCGCAAACCATGGCTGGATTTCAGAGGTCTCTGCCGCATTTGGTCAATAGTTGGCGTGCCGACTGTTGGTGTACATACCGTATAATCGATCACAGTGCAAATTGGGACATCTAAAAGTCCTTTTAGATGGCGAACTCTCTGTGGATGAGGATTATGCCTCGCAAAAAATGGATTCTTGCTGTTTCTGTTTGGAAAGCTGCTTGTGCTTAGCGACGATTCTGACCTACGAGGCCATGCGTAGCGACTTGTGAGAGGCATTTTATCGTCAAAATTTTCTTCAATTGTTCCCCGGACAAGAAGTTGCTGGCCTCCGCTTGGTGTAAACGTAGGCATATTTTCCATTCCTTGGTTAAAACGGGGTTATAATGGTTTTTTTGGCTTGATTCAGGAACCAAAATGCCTCCAGGTTGTTTTCAGTGAAATGAGGTTTTCATATCGGATGACAAGTAACATGGAGTAATCATTCCAGGAGTTCTAATTGGCTGTCACGTCGCTATGGATACGTGCTAAAATTGCCACATATTGGCGCCATCTTGATGTCCAAAATAAATAATTAACGCTAAGATATAATTTCTTGTTGTTGTTTGACGCCCGAGAAAGGGACATCATTAAAACTTTAGGTCTCAGAGTTTCTTTGTGCTAGAAAAATTGAGGAAATCCTAAAGAGGTTGAAATATGTCCTTCAAATTTCATTGATTTACATTTTCGCGGTTTAAAAGCACCCGGCCTAGCGCCTGGCCTACCTGAATGAAACAAAAGAGGTGAGATTAAAAATTAAAGGATGCTTTTTGAGTGTACATATAAATTTTCCATGTTCCTTAAAATTCCGAGGCTTAGTTTTCAGCATCAAGCTCTAAAAGGATTTCGCTCCGACGAAGGGCTAACGCTCGAAACGTCAGCTTTTGTAATCGTTACGGTGGCCAATTTACCATTTCAACTTTGTTGATATATCCAAATTATTTCTAAAAGGATTTGACTGTTAAAGCAACAAAAGGGGTGTTCTTTGTCTTCCATGATGGAGAACTCACCTCACCGAAAAAAAAAAAAAAAAACTAACTCACAAACAGTTTCTGAGACTGACCAATGAATTACGAACATTTCTCCTTTCTCAGTGTAATCGGTCAAAAGAGTAAACAGATATCGCCGGAACAAATATCTCCACACCGTGAGAAGTCTGGAAGTCGAGAAACGCGACACTGAAATTTGTTCGCATTCAGAATTTACATAGGATTTGCTATTTGTGAGGAAACGGTTTATTGGTAGCTAGGCAGATATAAGTATGCTCGGTTTTTTCATAGATTAGCGGTGTCCAGTAACTAGTAATTCCTATTATTATTAGTTCTAAAATGACTTAACATGGTCATAGCTAGTAGAGGGGACTAACTATGGCATGGTCGACCCTGTAAATTATCTGAGTAAAAACTCTTAAAACGTCCTCTGACATCAATTAACTACTCGAAGTTATCCTTATGATACGTTTTTCGTTAAAATAATGCACGTGAATTCATGATCTGGTACGGACACTTGCCCGGGAATCTTGCTGAGAAAAGCTAGGGAGAACAGAGAAAATCCACGTCTTAATGCGCCGGCTATCGCCCTTTTAACTCCATCCTTGACAGGTAAAACGAAAAAAAAAAAAAAAAAAAAAAAGCTTACAAGTCCTTGACGAACCTAACTGACAACTTCGGTCTTAATTGTCAATTTTTCTCATCAGACAGTTCGCCTGATACTCTTCTCAGAATAGTAAAGAACTTCCTAGGAGGAAATTTCTTCGTATTTCAGATAATATTAGTTTGAATTTTATTGGTTTCGTTTTTCTTTCTTCGTTTATATGCGTTATTTTCTTAGTTAATCAATTTCCTTCCACAGATTCCAAAAGGCAGTAAATTCTTGGTTTGTGCGAAATAATACGAGGTCAGATCTACCGTGACAGCAGTTACCTGTAGCGTTTGTGAATTTTAATGTTAGTTTTCATGTCTGACAAGAAGACCTACCCAAGACAACGACAAAGCAACGGCTAACTTCGGAGACGTGCCTGCAGACGTACTCTCCTGACATGAGCACTCGGCAGATTCCCTAGTGCGCCTTACTATCCGTGATTGGATAAAAAGAAAGTCGGAAATTTCAAAGGCGAAGTTAGCCGAATATTTTCAATAACTGATTTAAGATAAGCCCTTTTTGCACCTGTGGCACTATGAGAGCATAATGCACGACTCTAAATGATTTCTACTTCCAGCTGAGTGCCATCAGTTAATAAAACCTTTCCGCTAGATTGGTAATTTTCCTGTCGTGCACTAAAGGGGTTTCTATATTACTTTCGTGGAATGCAGCGCCCAGCACTATTTACACAGGCTGGATTTCCGTTCGAACGCTAAGAACCCATTTAAACAGTTAGGACTGATAGCGTAACTAAAATTGCGTCACAGAATCGAATGCGCACATTTTTTGAAGTTGTATCCGTTAAATTATTCATGATAATTGCTTTTTCTTTTTTCTCCAACTTTCCTTTTTTGTGTGTTTTTGTTTTTTCACTTTTTGATGGCTCTTATGATAATTTATTTGAGTTAAACCTTTGCAGGGGGAGAAATTAGACATGAGGTAATGTTACCGACTTTTCCTGAGAACATTCAACCCCAAGTTTCACCAAACATTCGAGTGAAGGAAATTAAAAAAACAATTGACGTAGTGAAGCTTTGTTTTTGCTGCACAACAGTTTCCAGGTTAATTAAGCTAGCCTTTTGTTAGAAAAGATTTTAGCCTCGATCGCTTAAAGACAATCTACTTTAACCTTTTGTGGCGCAGCGAGGTGTTAATGGTACCCCAGTGAATACGTTTTTCGAAAACCTCACGAAAAGGGAATCTCCACAAAACGCAGCACTCTTAAGAAAGAATTGCTCCCGGAACAGACTTATTCAGCATCGGCTCAATAGCACTCAGAACTCTTTCTTTAAGGTGAAAAATTTCACGAAACTGCTGATCTGCAAATAACAAAGCTTAACTAGTATAGTTTTCCGTAAGGTATGCATTTTTTGTTCACGGTATACCTAACGAAGGCGCAAGATAAGTTGTTTAGTTACAGTATAAATTTTGATACGCCAGACAGCATCATCTGATTTTAACACGATCAGTTAGTTATACACGATCTGTTGCCGATATGTCGGAAGAACGAATCATTCATTTCGAGTGCTCCATCTTCAACTTGTCAAATTTCAATTCCGTTTTTTACCAATTAGCAGTGACGTTTCCCTACTTGCCTGAATGAAAATTCGCCTCTGTCGCCAGTTGATCTGTTCTATAGTATATTAATCTATGGAACAGCTGGATACGAAAGAGTTATATGCACATATATGACTTGCACTATTTGCGCGAAGCGCAAAAAAAGAAAAAAAAAAAACTCACCTTGGTTCACTGAGCAAACTTGCTCAAAATTGAAGCCTCAAATTGCAAAGGGTGGCAGAGTTATGATCCGTGCAATGGTTGCAGAAGTTTCAAGAGATGCTATTGGTTTTTAACGTGACAATGAATCAATTACTGGAATAGTATTTGGCCTACAGTAAATTGCAAATGAAAAAGGCAATTCTATGTTTGCCTGAAAACTTTCTTTGGCTTGCAGATGGATACGATTGGAAAAAGGCCATCGATGAGTAAAATAACTCCGTAAATGGAATTTTTTCGAATGTAATGCAGATCCTAGATTGATGGAAGAAGTCACTGAAATCTTATCATCACATTTGGAATCCAGGTTTTTTTCAATCAGTAGGCGAATTGATGAATAGAAAAACGCGGCCTTACCTTTCACTGCTTTATATAATTGCTTTCTTTTAAAGTGAGACTAAAACTGTCAGGTTCAAGGGACGCATTTTGTGCACATCTTAGACAAAAGTTTGTCTTTGTGGTCGCCATCCGGAAAAATCACCACAGCTCTGTAAAAATGACGGCGGCATTGAAGTTTCAGCACACAAGACAGTCGTTCAGATTGTTTATTCTGTTATTTATTTTGGTGCTCTACACTTGTGTTTGCGCTGTCGTCTTTAACGCTCTGGAAGTAGCTAATGATGAACGTCAGTACGAGATCTATCAAGGAAAGAAAAAGCATTACAAACAAAAGTATAACATGAGCGAAGAAGATTTCATTCACTTTATCACTGACGCTAATGTTCTTGTCAAGCGCGGATATGCTGAAAGCTACAAAAACTACTGGAATTTCTATCACGCGTTTTGGTTTACAACAACAGTGGTCACTACCATGGGTAAGTATTGCATATTTTGAACATGTCTATTTTATTTTACAGAGTGCTAATGTTAAATGCGCAGAAAGAAGATTGAAGGCTGGTAGAACCAACAGAACGGGATGGAGATTTGGATCGGCGAAAGTCTTGACAGATTTTTTTTCGTCTTGTATAAAATGTCCTACTCAATATTTTGAAGGACTTTCCATCGCTGTGCGTTTTCAATTTGCTGTATCTTATGCTTCCCCTGAGAGAAAAACGAAGTCTTCGTTATATGCCTGAGCGATTCTATTACGCTTTCTGTTTTCATAGCAATTTAGCAAATGTAAGAGAAAAGAGTTAATCTACCAGCGGAGAAAAATCAATACCGCAGAATTGGAAATATTTTGGCAGCCAAAAGCCGTCCGAAGGCTTTTCGTAATTGAAAAACTTTTGCCTAACGGCTAAAAGACTGCTTTAAAGTACGAAGTGAATAAATACAAATTGATGACAATATCATGCAATTTTAACTTGACGATTCTTCTTCGACTGTTTGGTGCCACACAGCTTAATCCATCTAAAATTAAAATCGGAACTTGGAGTTTTGTAACGAACGAAAGCCAGTTAATAGCTTTTCCTTCATGACTCCAAAACTGGCTGTAAAATAAACATATTATTATGAACACGATTTCACAAGATAAAGTGATTTCGTCAAATCGCTCGATAACAGTCCCGATTCTTTACTTTTAGCGGCTTCTTCAGTGAATGAATCGGTTTACTTTGAAGTGAGTTTGACACATTCGATTGCTGTCTCCTCGCTGTTGCCATGGCTTCACTATTCTATTCAGCATTTCGGTTTCATACAGGTCTAAGACAACATCACCATTTAAATTACAAAAGTTTATACATTTTCAAAAGCTAATCCATTCACCTATGAATAGTGTATGTTTCGATGGAAGATACTCAGTCGGCGATCTAGACAAATATCACTTGGTAAACACTTCAATCTTTTTAATTTTCTTTTTACGCGATTGATTATTCATCTATTTTTTTTATCTTACGCGAGAAAAATAGCTTTTCTCAATTCATTTCATCAGAAAAAACCTTATCAGATTTACATTAAAATCAAAATTACCTTGAGAACAATTTGAACTTAAAGTTTGACTGATTCTCAATTTGTCCTAATTCTTATACTTAATTCAACATACGAACGAATAAAGGGCACTCCCAAAATTTGGCAATTTGCCGCCTTTTATAATTTTGAATATCCTTTAATTCATTTTTTTTTTCTTGTTTAAAGTTATTTACCTTTATCTTTTTTTTTGTTATAGTCGCTGTCGACTCATATTTCCTTAAATGGCTCCAGACAGTCCATATGCAGACTGAAATCGATTACACACACGACGCAAACTTTTCTCAATCAGGGCTCCTGTGCGGTCATCGCTCGAGCAGAAAGATTCTGCATGTGATAAATTTCCAATCATCCACGAAGAGTGGATGATTGAAAATTTATCCTTTGCGAAGAGTGCAAAGAACCGACGAAAACTCATATTTTTTGTTGTTCGATCTTGCGGTGTGTTAAAGAAATTTGTTCGTTTTTGCGATGTTCCTTTTTACGCCTATATTGTTCCCGAAAACGCCAAAGGCCCCTATTACAATTACAAAAAATTACATATCTTCGAGGGCTAAAGCACATGCAATAGATAACGCTGACACCAAACACAAAATGACCCCCAGGGCTTATCTCATTCTTCGGCATGTGCTATGGAAGACCAAGATACTTTCCCTCTCTACCATCTAGAGTTGTTACCTTTTCAGTGTTTTCGTGCTCAAGTCAAAAAGCTATTTTTGGTCACACCTTAGATCAAATTACGCTGCTTTGGTCTAAGCATTCGTTGCTATATTTTGCAACGGATTTAACCGGCATCTCTTTTCTTTCCGTTGTAACACGAGATTTCTAAGGTTTCTCCTTCCACTCAATTTGCTACAAAAACACTTCTGGCAGGCCCAACGTAACTAAACCCTGGATACTTCGCTAGCCACCTCGACTAATCAGTCTATAAAAACAATCGCCACTTGCTAATTCGCGTTTTCCCGCGCTTTTAGCAGTTTGTTTGTTTTCAAAACGAGTCCTGATTGGCTCGTTCTGATATTTTCCAATGTTCTCATTGATCCTTGAGATAACTTTGGCTTTAGGGCTCTCAATAAGAAAACGAGTGATCGATGACGTTTAATTTCTCGTTGAATGTTGTTGATTTCTTTTTTTTAATGGCTTTTGATCAAAGCAGCTTGTCATTGTAGAGTAAATCAGAGATGTTTGACAGAAGGGGAGGAACGTAGGAAGCTTTCAAAGTTGAACTGAAACCAAGGTGTTTGTTTTTTCTGAATGCACCTAATGTCTTACATGTTCGTGTTCTTCCAAAAGTGATCTCCGGCAGAACGACACTTCAACCAGGGGCGTAGCCAGGATTTTTCAAAGGAAGGGGAAATCACACGGATAGATGCTACGGACAAAGGAGATAGAAGAAACCAATTTTGCCATTGCGTGTCGTTAGCCAGTTTTGACAACGGCCTTCCCGTTATCTACTGGACATTAACACCTTTTCTGCAATCACCGTCGTTGCTCAACAATCATATTTGGTGTAGTAAATGTTCTTCTTCTGCTGTTCACACTATTGGGCAGAACTGTTCTATCATCGTCGCAACAAATAGAAAATTGCACTACTATGGTTATTCAGGAGTGTTCAGATCATTCCTAAAGGTTCTTTATAGCTGTAGAAAGTAGAAACCAGAGTCTTCGTGACAAGGATTGTAAATCTCTTCAAGTAAGTCATTAATGCGGCTTTTTAAACCTCTTCTCAGTCCTCTCCTGGAGAACTCTTTTACCGAAGAGAACATCACCTGGTCAGTCTCTTCCGAGCTACTCATCTTTATCGAGCGAGATCGAAACTCAACGATTAATGTCGCTCTCATTCGGAGTGAACCATTGTTATTAAATTCGGTTTGGACTTTATTTTCCAAAATTCAACGATTGTTACTGAGATCAGCCCTCATCAGTATAAAAAATCAATTTTCTTATTTTCAGTCTTCTTTGAACTAGCTTGGTGCTTATGTTCCCGTGTCGATATTGAGTTCTTTTTACGTTTCACAGGCCACAATTGATTGCCTTTCTGTTCCTCGTTGCCTTGGAAACCTATTATCAACATTTCGTCGCTATGTTCTGATGACAGCATTGAGTCTTTCTGAAACGTGTCCCCATCTTCTTTAGTGTTGTGAC